TGGTTATTGACTTTTAGCTGCATTTTTTTTCTCCCCTTTTTCCGTTTTTGTCCAATTGTGCATACTCTGGGTATAACTAAAGAGGGCACTAAAGTAAGAAAGTAGAGGGCTTGTCCAGCCGAAGAACCATTAATAATCCCCTGCTAGAGCTCCTGACAAATGAGCAAGTCCAAAAAATAAGAAATAAAGAAATAAAGGCAAACGACTTTATTTTACAGGACCACACAGAAAAATAAACTCTGTCGTGTTTATCTTCGAATATCCAAAATATATTGATTCAACGATCTCTTCAATTTGTAAAGCAAATAAAAGTGTAAGCACTTCTTTTTTAAATCAGGTATTCCCATGTTTGTATAAATGCTAAAAACGCAACTCTATTTTCTAGAAAGTTTACAAATCAAATTAACACTATCCCCGACAAAATAATATATCAGAAAAATCAATGCATTACTAAAATAAAAATAATTATTAATAAAATTATTAAATAAACAATTATTGTGGTGCATTCTCTGCGTGCAGAATCTATGAAGCTTTGCAAAGTCCAAAAGAGTTAGCCATGTAATCCATATTTTGCTGCTTGATTGCCAACAAATTGAAAATGTCAAGTGCATTCGCATCACTTTGAAAGGGAGTGAGGAAATCCAGGGCAACACCACGGGAAAATCTTTGCTATCTTTCGTCGAACTTTTAATGTAAATGTGGATTATTTAATGTTCGATATTTTAATTCCAGCCAACAATCAAAAACCCCACATCTATTGTTTTTAAAGTCCCGCCATCCTTGTATAAATTCGTTCCCCATCCAATCTACTCTAACATTTAAAGCTCAAAACATACCTCGCGATTTTGATTTGAAAGTGGTAACCACCATCCTGGGATTTTCGTGTGCCCCCACAACCTCAATCAACCAAAAAAGCAAAAGTCATATAACAAATTTTGACAAAAATATAAAACAACAGGCATTATGGCGAACTTCACGGCTGCTTTATCAAATATTTAACTCGCTTTTCATTGTCTGTCGTTGTTGCTTGTTGCTGGTTTTTGTGGGCTGCCATCGGTTGTTTATATGCATACATTTTATTACACATATGCTTTTGTTTATGCGACTCGACAATGCCAACAAAAGTTAATGCAACATAAAATTTTCATTTTTTATTTATCACGAAATGTTCTTCCTTTTTTTCGTTTCACTCTTCGTTTTTGACTCTTTCCGCGCTCCCTTGAGGGAAAACGACGAAATCAAAGGAGAATAAAATAAGGATAAAACCAATGAAAAGTGAGCGACTCGGACTTTGGGAGTCGACTGGTTAATGGCTCAAAAAAATGATTTTGAGAAGATTGAACTCTCAAAACAAAAAACAAAAGTCTTAAACATTCTTAAAACAATTATTTTGCGGTTCGAAATTGCTTGGTCCGTTGATTTGAAGTTTCAGTCTTTTCAATCTTACAAGTTATCTTACAACTATCAGAAATCATTTTCATTATTTTTCGTTTATATCCACGCCCAAGTACACCCTCTGGTAAGCCCAGCATTCCCCAACTGATACCCAGCAGGCCCAGGAACAAAAACCCTCGCAATAAAACTGCCACACACATAGCACATGGCATAAACCACAGGCGTGGGCCCCCAACTTACACATATGAGGACATACATATATCAGAAATATGCTAAATCAGCATATTTGCGAGTTTATTTACAAGGACATTTATAAAAATTTACGGCCGTGCCGTAAATTGCAGCCGCCGGGCAGGTCTTGAGATTTATGCGTCGACGATTATATCGGAAGGGGTGAGGTCAGGGGTCGGGGGTCGGGGGTCACAGGCCTACACCACCCACCCAAACGCCCACCCCGAAGTCAAACTTCGCCAGCGATTTCTCACATCATTTAAAAGTCGTTGCTTGAGATCTCAAAAGGGGTGAGCTAAAATAGGGGGTATAGTGAAAATTGCTCTTAAACACAATTTCGCATCTTCTCTTCCTTCAAATAATTAAATAAATATAAAATCATATTGAAATCACTGATTCTTTGGGAGATGTCATCCTTTATCTTCGCTTTCGTTCCAATAGTGCAATACAATTCGATAAAGGTTTAAATGTATTGGCGTTAATCCCTTTCTACATCATCAAACAATTTCATCAAATAAATCTAAAGTGATTTGTATTTGTCACACACATTTCAACTGCTGCCACTTTGTGTTTCCATCGAACTCCATCTGCATCCTCATCCTGCATCTGACTTTCCCCCACGTCCTTGTCCTTCATCACCGCTGGGTTCTTCCCCGCGTTGCATGCCCCATTGCGACGCCAATATGTCTGCTGCTCCACGCTACACCTGCTCCTGAATTTCGGCCCTTTTTTTGGGGTACACCAGATGGTAGGATTATTTAATCCGATCCCAGAAACTTTTTATTTTTAAATAATTAAATTTGTAATAGCTAAATCCTGTAAACGAGATCCAGATGAACAGTAAATGCAAATTTTTCACTTTGAGTTTCATCACTTCAGTACTGAAAGTGAGATTTCTATGACATCTTGCTGAAGAATAAGTTTTTAAGTCAGAGTTCCAGACTTCAAAAATACTTTTGTAATACCTACAAAAATTTATCATCCACTTTTTTACCAAAGTATGCAACTTAAACCTTTAAACTATTAAAAACGTTGCCTTTCATCTGGGAATTAACACATTTAACGATCTTTAGCGGATTCCATAGGTTTTTTTAAGATGGCCCACAAATCAGCACTTTGACATTGAGAAGTGCTTTTACACTTTTTGGTACAATTCAGTTAAACAAAGCGTCTTAATATTAAATTTATATCGGGTTGCTTATTAAGGACGGAAGCAGTTCACCTGAATTACAAGGGCAGTATGAACTCGCGTACCCATTTATTTGCATATATGTATGTCCCATTTCACCTTTGGCTGTCTGTACGCCAATTAAACTTCAATTGAGAAGGGGTGTGCGAAGGAGGGGGTTGATTCAGGGGGGAGCAGCTTTTTTAATTAAACTTCGCTGCAGCTGCACTTTACACAATCCTCCGCCAATCCTCGAATCCCCTCCATTCCGAAATTGATGACTTTAATCAGGCATCAGAGCCACTGAAATGACACTTTATGCGGGGCACGACAATCCAGGGGCGTAGTCCGTGGCGAAGGGGGCATGACCGGGATACCAATACTTATCGCTATAAATTAATCGAAGTTGGCGCACAACGGTCGGCATCAATAAGCGGGAAAATGCGGGAGAAACTTAGAAAAATGGCAAAAGTCAATTTTGGGGCTAGCCCTGAAATCAGTCCATTTTCTTAGCCCCCTTCCCCGCGAAACCCCAATTCAGTTAACCCTTTTCAGGAGGAGTAGTTTTCCCTTTTGCCCGCTTTCTTTTTTTTCATACCTCCTATTTATTGGGTTTAATGGGTACGTTGAATGTTTTTAATTTAAAAATGTTAAGTTCAACAATAACACAGTGTTACAAAATGCTGGATTTTTAAGAAAGCTTTTTTTGTCTGGTTTTTTAATAAGATGATTCCCTCAACCCTAATAATTTAATAAGTACCTCAAAGTCCATCAGCTTGCCTGTTGAATTTCCCCCTTTTTTCGGCTCGACTGCTTCAATTGCCATGAAATTTATGTGCCTTCGCTCAGCGTGAACTTGATGCGCATAAATCCACATGAAACGGATATTAAAAAGCATGAAACGAGCCAATCCTAACCCTCCATCTCTTGTAACCCATTGTAACCCATCCACATCCGTATTGACTATGTATTATATAGCTGATTGACTTGGATCCGTGTTGTTGGCTTTGTTGGCTTAAATTATGAACTTATAAATTGACAGCGGGTCGTGGAATGCCGGACTCCCCTTGCCAATTCTGGGTTTGTTTTGTTGTCAAACGAGGAAGGGTTTAATCTCAACTAGCTATTCGGCCAAGGGTTTAAGAGTCCGCCGGACTCAAGTCCTTATTTCCCGGCTCAGATAATTGACATTTTGTTTGGCAAACGATAAGCGATGGGTGTTGAGGATAGGGTTAAAAGTCACTAAGGGGCATGGCAATAAAGGCTTAAAGACGCCAACCCGCACAATACAAATAAATATCTATTCCTGAGTTAATATATAAAATATAAGAGAAATACTCGAAATTATTCAGAGCAATCAATCAACTACTTCTATATATTACGCTAACGAAATAATAGTAATAATGTAGAAATTAATAGAAATAGGAGTTCTTAAGAACCACTGAATATTTCATAGGTCCAAAAATAAGCAAGCCCCAGGAAATTAATCCGACTAATCGATCCCCTACGCCTACTTCTGTTAAATATGCAAATGCCCGATAAACCAATCGAGTATTCACAACAAGTTCTCCCACCGAGCTGCACTAATCTGCAGTAAAACCTTGACCATTTCCAACTGCCAACTGGATGCGAAGGACTCTGGGCACTAATGGCCTCATAAATATGCAACACGAAACGGGATGGGCTCCACCTGCAGAGGCTGGGAGCCAGGACATGGCCAAATAATTCTCCCTGGCTCCATGGCTCCATGGCAATTCAATTCAATTCGGCTTACTGTCAGATGTATCTGAAAGTGGCATTTCCATCTCGAAGAGAAGATCCTTCCAGCCTGCTGCCGTTGGCATATTTGATTTTGTAATTTGCATTTGATAAGCGACTCTGGGCAGGACTTACCACCCCAAGCGCTGTCCTTGTCATTGTCCTGGCCTTGGCTACAGTTCCCAGATCCAAGTTCCAACTGGGTCCTTGCCGCATCCCCAACCCCCCACTCCCCTCCCCCCGCCTTTGACAGCACCAACTTCCGACTGCAGCCTATGTTTTGTTTTAATTCCATTGAAATGAATTTATCTATGCCAAACCAGCTGGGGAAAACTCAGCCGAAAACTTCGGGCACAGTTTGTTTGTCTTAAACTCCATTATTTTCCTTGGTTTCTGCGGTAAGGCCACAATGATTTTCCATTTGGGATGCGTCAATAGAGTTTCCATATACATATATATCATAATATTGTTTATTCTGAATTCACGCCTTACAGCAACTTAAACGAAATTATAACGAAAATTATCGTAATTAAACGCAAGATTCTGCGCAAATGTTGCCTGATTTGGATAAATATTTTTAACAGCTGCTATTCCAGCCTTAACAAAACTCACAATACAATCATAATAAAAACTGATTTATCACAATTTCGGAAATAAGGATATAAATGAATATTCGAAATCGAACCACTTTTTGGGGCAAGCATTAAGCGATAAAACTATAAATTTAAAGATATATAATCGTTTCCAAATTTGGCAAAAACGTTAACTTTGAGTTTCTTTTTTCTTTTTGGGTGACTCTGCACATGGATGTGGGATGAGGTGGTTCAATGTCAAGGGTTCCTTAGTATAGAACATACAGCTTACGGCTTTCATATATCTAGATAAATACGAGTATACACGATTAGATTTGAATCCTTATTAACTAGTAAGTTGTACTTGGGTAGGAGCATAATAAGAAGGGAAGACCCTCGGACAGCCGAGACTTTAGGGACCCTTGCAAAGTAGGTCATCGAACATACCAAACTTTGAAATACTGAATAGTTAAGGTATTTGAAAACGTCTTCTAAAACACTGAAACAATTTCCACTTGCAGACTGACTAATTTCAATATAGAAAATACATACATTATATTCATTATATCTGTCTTAGCATTGAACTTTGCAAGGGTATTAGAATTTAAAGTTTAGATTGGCGAACCTTTTTGTTCTGCTTAAAGTAATGTATAAAGTTTCTTTAAGGTAAAGCAAAAGCGCCCTTTGTCTAAAAAAAAATTAATTCAATTTGCTTTATTTGAATAAACAGCTAGTGTTTCGAAGTGGTTTTCCTTAATCTTGCTTAAAAACTTCTCCGAATGTCACTCCTAAAAGCAGTTGCTTTAAATGAGAAAATACATTCCAAAATATAAACCATTGAAATTCCAGCTAGTTCAAGTGTTTCAACAAAAATCAATTCTAGTTTCGAAATAGAGAAGTTCAACTACTTGTTGACCTTTTGCATAAGCATAAATAGCTTTTAGATGGGCTTGTTTTCAATGCGTTCTTACTCGAATCTGTTGGGGGTGCATTTTCCAGTATTACGAAGAAGGCAAGACAATTGATGCCTCGTCTGACAATAATAGGTATACATCTGATTAATGTATGAGTTGCGATCGCTCCTTCTCGCTCTTCCCGATGCAGTTCCTCTGCAAAATCTTTGACGATCAGCTTGAGAGCGGAATCGGTAGCTGTGGAGGATCACTGACCAAATGCAGAGGTGGGGGATCGATGGGGGATGAATCGATTGATGGTGATTGGGAAATGTCGTTCGGCGCTGCCAACCGCTACTGCCGCACTACGTGCTACGTCCGATTTGCAACCAGGCGAGCAACAACTGCAATGCCGGCTGGAGCAGCACCAGTTTTCAGATATCTGTATTGATATTGATCCGCGTAAGAAACTCGCCGTGCGAATCGGCCACAGCGCGTATGATCTCCAGCAACAGTTCGCGCGACAAACCGGAAATTTTTGGCAGCCTAGCGACCTTGGCAAAATCTTTGACGATCAGCTTGAGAGCGTACTCCTTGATGTCATAGATCTTGGTGATGTCCGAAGCCTCCAGCGTCTGCAGCACATTCTCGAACGTGATGTTGTGCTCCAGAGAGTATTTGCAAAACGCGTGCAGTCGATTGTTGGCCAGTCCATAAAAGCAGGGCGCCTGGAACAGATACAATGCATCCTGCGGCGGCATCTTCGTCTCGCCGTAGTAAATGTAGCGCAGCAGCGAGTGGAACGCCTCAAGCGAGGGTGAGATTTCACCAATTTGGATCTGTATGAAAGCAAAACGGAATTTACTATAAGATCAAGCCGGATCAACGGAGGAAACCAATGTGTTTTTCACAATTTAAAACCTACCTACTCTACGGGCACTAAAGATATTTTTAAAATCAACTAACTAATATGCCAATTGAACAGATATTTTCGATAGACGAAGAGTTCAACTCACGTTGACTGTATTATCCGGGGGCATAAACGATCGAAACATGCCCTGAAAGTAGGTGCAACGCGACGACAATACCGACTTGTGGGCCGGTATCACATGATCCTCTAGGACGAGGCTTATGTCACAAAAATCGTTGCCAGTTGACTCCAAAAAGGCGCACAAGTCGATCTCCAAAGTGGTTCCTAAATAAAGTGTTTATTTAGCAAAGGACTTGAAACTTTATTTGTAAAATCTCACTCACCTATGTTGGCCTCATAACTGATGTCCATTACCAGCTTGCTGGGATGCAGCCGCTTGCGGATGATCTCCACCAGCAAAGACTTGTCCAAATCGCTAAACTCACTGGACATTACCACCTCGGTAAAGTTCTCCTCCTTGATGATGAACTGCATGCAGTGGTCTTTGATGATCTTAATGCTGAAGTAGGAAGTGTTGAGGTATATTAGTTTAATACATAAATTGAGTTCTGAAATATAGTCCCCCACTTACTTGCTCTTGTCCGCATTGTAGAGCGCCTCCAAAACGTTGAGCTTGTTGATCTTGTAGTCCAAATACTGGATACAGCCGTGGGCCAGCCGCGGCATTGTAAACAAACCAGCCAGTTGGTAGATGTCCGTGATGAGGATGATGATGTTCTTGCTGTACGTGTCCTTCAGATCGATGCGATCGGTGTAAATGTAGTTCAGTATGATGTCGAAGGCCTCGGGGGAGGCGCGGGCCAGACGCACCTCCAGCATGGGCCCGCAGTCCCCGCCCGCACCCGTGTTCAGAGCCAGTGCATCGACCTGGCCCACCCCGTAGACCTTCTCCATCTGTTGCTGGCGTTCCTCCCGGGCAGCCAATATTTTGTTCCGCAGGTACTTCGAACGCGCCGCTACAAAGGCGATGTGCGCCAGGATGCGAATCTCCTCCGCTCCCACGATGAACTGGATGTCGCAGAACTGTTTGTCCTGGAAGAACTTACCGAAGTCATCGCGCAGTGTGCACTTCGGGTACGAGGAGAACTGGAATCGGTAAGTGTCGCCTCTTCTCACGCTGTTGTCCACGGTCCCGCCGAAAATATACATGGCATCGCAGATGACGGCCGAGGCATGGAACACTCTGCCCGAGGGCACATCTGAGTTCTGTTCCGGGAGGATGACGGACCACACCTGCGAGTCCAGGTCGTAGCAGTGCAGATCGTTAGGTAGCGTTGAGTCCGCCGATCCCCCGAACACATACAAAAAACGGTCGTGATGCACCATCGTGTGGCCATATCTTCGCGAGGGCGGGGCGGAGGTGGCGCCCCGTAAGACCGGCTCGTTGGAAATGCGCCTCCAAGTGCGCGTCTTAAAGTGGAACTCAAACAGGGAGTTGGTTATTTGGAGGCCACTCTGTCCGGAAAAGACGTACATGGCATCTCTGGCCACTGCCACTGGGAAGTTACAGCAGGTGGGCGGACGATCGCCCAGCTGGTCCACCTCCTCCCACTGGTGATTCTCCCCGGTGAGGTTCAGTGTCCACATGTCGTTTAGCCGGGCATTGCCATCGTAGCCGGCATAGATCCACATCTTGTTGTCGTAAACAGCTGCCCCATGCGCGGATCGAGGAACTGGCTGGCGCCCGGAAAACTTCCACTCTACCCACATGGCGCTCTGGAACTTGTACTCGAACAAATCGTTTTTGTTGGTCAGGTTTGAGTTGGAGTGAATGTCGCCGGTGTAGCCCCCGAAGATGAACATTGAGCTGCCGGCCACCACCGCCGAGTGATGATACCGCGGAGCTGGCGGTGTTCCCGTGGCGCACGCCCTGCCCCAAGACTTGTCCTTCACGCCGAAGCGGATGAGGTCGTTCAGCATGTTCTTGCCGTTATCGCCGCCGAACACGAACATCGCATCCTTGTAGGCCACCACTGTGTGCTTGCTCCGCCTGAGAAAGAAAGATTGTGTTTGGGATATGGATCAAATTATTACTGCTTGTAAAAATAAACTAAGAAAAAAGTTATCCTTAAAGAGAGAACAAGTCACCAAATAAGTGTTTAAATATAAAGCAAAGTCCCTCTCACTTGTACATATTTGCATGAACGCTTTAAGGTTTGTAACACATTGTAAACGATAAAGTATTTAAAAGTATTTGGTTAGTATCTAGATTCTCCCAGCTTTCCAGCTCCATCACTTACTTGGCTCCGACGAACTCGGCGCACTCGAGCATCCTGGTCCACTGATGGGTGGCTGTGTACGTGGTGAAGTCCACATTTAGGGCGTTGCAGCTGTAGCTGCCGGGGGAAGCGGCCTTGCAACTCCCACTGCCACTCCCACTGCTGGCGTTACTAGCTACGTCGTAGGCCAGTCCGCATCCGGAGCTTCCTGCTCCGCTGCTGCAGCTGCTGCCCGGTGGATGCGAGGAGGAGGCTGATCCTCCTGCACCACTACCCCTAGAGCCCCGCATCGAACTGGACATGGACATACGGAGGTTGGCCCGTATGTGCTGGGCGTCCAAGCAGCTGGCGGTGGAGGCGCTCTTCCTGGCCTTGTTGCGCTTACTGGACTTGGAGGAGCTGCGTGAGAAGAAGCCCTCGTGCTGGGGACTTGAATTCTGACTGGGATTCTGCTGGTTGGCGGCTGCCACGCAGGCGGGGCAATAAAGGATACCGGCAGGAGTGCTCCCACCACTGCTGCTGCTGGCCAATCCCCTGTCCCGATCCCGATCTCGATCGGATCCTCCTCCTCCGCCGGTCACAAATCCGCAGACCGCACTCAACCCACTGGAAATCGAACTGGAACCCAGCCCGCAACTGGCACGCCCACTTCCGCTGGTGCTCCTGCTTCCAGAGGCTCCGCCTCCTCCTGCTCCTGCTCCGCCCCCTCCTGCTCCACCGCCACCTCCGCCGCCTCCTCTTTCCGTGGATGCCACGCCAACGCCGCCGCTAATCGACTTTAGCATTAATGCATCACACGCCGGAAGGATCCTCCGTCGTCCTGGTAGCGAATAATCCTGGCCCGCTTACACAAATTACGTTTTTTTTACAACAAAACAGAAGATCTGTATATAGTTATCGGCTATCGATAAGACAATAGTGTGGTCACATTCAGTGTCGGTGCATCGATACTTGCGATATCGGGTTAAGTCACCGCCTATCGATAGTAAGGATAGTTCATACATTTTTCATTTGATTTAAGTTTGGCTTCATGATCTTAATCAAAGTGAGTAGTTGATAATATTCTAATATGTCACATATATTGTAAATATAAGAGCTAATTAATTTATTTATATAGTGCTTACAACCCATTTTCATGTTAGTTATCTGTGAGTTTCCAAGGAGTTGTAAAAAGGTAACCCACAATCGGACTTCGAGAGTTCATAACTTTACCAAATATAGTCAGATTTCGAAGTGACATACCTTTAAATACTTGTGGTTTGATTCTCTCAAAATCTGCATTCAAAATTTTCGTTTTGGCGTTGATCAACTTTTTGACCCATTTTTATGTTAGTTATCTGTGAGTTTCTGAGGAGTTGTTAAAAGGTGACCCACAATTGGACTTCCAGAATCCATAACTTGACCAAATTTAATCCGACTTCAAAGTGGCATACCTTTTAAGACTTGTGGCTTGATTCTCTAAAAATCTGCATTCAAAATTTTCATTTTAGCGTTGATCAACTTTTTGACCCATTTTCATGTTAGTTATCTGTGAGTTTCCGAGGAGTTGTAAAAAGGTGACCCACAATTGGAGTTCCAGAGTCCAAACTTGGCCAAATTTAATCCGATTTCAAAGTGGCATACCTTTTAAGACTTGTGGCTTGATTCTCTAAAAATCTGCATTCAAAATTTTCGTTTTAGCGCTGATCAACTTTTTGACCCATTTTCATGTTAGTTATCTGTGAGTTTCCGAGGAGTTGTAAAAAGGTGACCCACAATTGGAGTTCCAGAGTCCATAACTTGGCCAAATTTAATCCGATTTCAAAGTGGCATACCTTTTAAGACTTGTGGCTTGATTCTCTAAAAATCTGCATTCAAAATTTTTGTTTTAGCGTTGATCAACTTTTTGACCCATTTTCATGTTAGTTATCTGTGAGTTTCCGAGGAGTTGTAAAAAGGTGACCCACAATTGGAGATCTAGAGTCCATAACTTGGCTGATTGCAGCTTTGTGCTGGACTGGATGACGGACTTTGAGACCTTCCAGGAGGCTCTGGAGCAGGAACAGAGCTTCGTGAGCAACCTCACGCGCACCATGTCGCTCACCTTGGACACCTTTTACGAGAACCTTAGCACTTGCGGCGTGTCGGCCAAGACGGGCGTGGGTTTTGCCCAGCTTCTGAAAAAGATTCTGGACTGCGTGACCCAGTACGAGCAGGATTACAAACCGGTGTACGAGAAGATGCGGCAGGAGCGACTGGCGGAGCAGGCAGCTGGTCCAAGGCCAACTGACAATGTGGAAGAAGCCGGCGTAGCCGTGCCTCTGGGACTGGGTCTTCAAGTAGGAACACTCAGAGCTCTTAACTAAACTTACTAATAGATTTTTTTTACGTAGGACCCACACCCGAACTCCAAAAACAGCGTGTTTCTAATGGCACCTGGTCTGGTGCCTCAATCCGCTGAGGATGACGAAAATGATATGGAGGAGGACGCAAAGGGCACCATGGAGGACCAGAACTTCCACAGCTTCGTCCAAAATCACCTGGACGCCCAGCAAAGCAAGCGGGACAAACTGCAGCAGAAACAGCCACAACCCTAAAGTGATATGGAAAACATTTCAGTTAGCATCGGTTAAGATTGGTTCCCATTTAAATATAGAATAAAAGGTTACTTTTTAAATTACGTAGAGGACGATTTGACGATTTATGGAAAATATTTTAGTTAAGATTGATTTTAATAGCTATTTTATTGATTTTCAAAGTTGAAAACAAAGGCATTATGTTTATTGAAGTAGGAAAGTCTTATTGAAATGGTATTTATTCCCTTTATTTTCCAATAGTCTTTTGAATTATTAGGAAAGTGATTGAAAAATTGTTAATACGATTCTTTAGGTCAACTACAATTATTTTCCACTTTGTCCGTACCTTTTATTTTACCATACCCCCTTGATAAAGGACACTTGGTTTCCCTTGTTTTTATGTTTTCTTCTTTATTATTCACTTTAACAAGCAAAAACATTCAATATAGTGTGTGTGTTTGTCATTTTCCGTCGGATATCTGTTTTGTATACATGGACTTAGTTTAGCTTTGCAAATTAGTGATAACATATACATATGGAGGATATATCCCGCTCGTAAATGTAAATGCAAGCCTTATACTTTGCGTTACATATTTTTGTATATATATATATATATTGTATGTATATATTATGTGTGTTGAGCAAATCAATTTTGAGTTGCGAGTGCTGCGCCCGATATCTTTATCTTACGCTATATAGTTGCTTCTCTGGATTTGTTTGGTTTTTTTATTGGTTGTCGCTTTAAATATTACGCTTACAAAAATACAGATCATCTCAAATACTTGTCAATGCTTCACAGTTATACACAGTTCATATAGACATACAGTAGTCCCCCGCTACAAACGTTATTCCCCATCTGGATTTTCTCGGCAAGCTTTTTTATGTGCTTTTTGGCTGCAAGCTGTGCAGGATCCTAACCCGGATCCTTGACCAGGCGTAAATGCATCCCTCAATATTTTTGTGCTGAAAATCAAGTACAGTCCACGCTCGATAAGTAGAAGCACTGCTTGCGCAAAAAAAGATTCTAATTTCTGGACGTTTTCATTTGATTTGAGTGTGTTTTCCTAGGGCTCACACGGAATTAAGATCTGGTGGCATATAAGTATATCTTACTCTTTTTCAAATAAATGTCGAGGTACAGTGCGACTCAGAGCAGCAAGATCGTTTAAAGGTGGTTTAAAAATTATTCTAACCGCTATTAGGAGTAAAATTATGTTTAAAAAAGCTCGTTTTAGTTAAAAAGTATTTTTGTTTGAAATTAGTTTTTCTAGATTCTTGGAGCCCTGAAACGCACTGCACTCTTTAGTATAATATTTGTTTTGTGATAAATGGAAAGTTTACCTTTCAATTAAACTGTGTTACATAGTTCGACCTTAATTTTAAACATTAATGGAAATATACATTTCTAATAGATTTTAGTGCTGGCCACGTCAGCGTTTTGAAAAAAGGTACCTGAATGTTGGAAAAGGTGCTGTTTATACTCGTTCTTAAACTCAAAAACAAGCGATCAGAATCTTACTTTCTACACTCTTAAAATGTATGGCTACCACTAGGTTTTCAAATATTTCATTCCAAACAATTTTATGATTTTGTTAAGAGTTATTGAATTAGACAGTGGGTTATGTTAGTTATCTGTGAGTTTCTGAGGAGTTGTTAAAAGGTGACCCACAATTGGACTTCCAGAATCCATAACTTGACCAAATTTAATCCGACTTCAAAGTGGCATACCTTTTAAGACTTGTGGCTTGATTCTCTAAAAATCTGCATTCAAAATTTTCATTTTAGCGTTGATCAACTTTTTGACCCATTTTCATGTTAGTTATCTGTGAGTTTCCGAGGAGTTGTAAAAAGGTGACCCACAATTGGAGTTCCAGAGTCCATAACTTGGCCAAATTTAATCCGATTTCAAAGTGGCATACCTTTTAAGACTTGTGGCTTGATTCTCTAAAAATCTGCATTCAAAATTTTCGTTTTAGCGCTGATCAACTTTTTGACCCATTTTCATGTTAGTTATCTGTGAGTTTCCGAGGAGTTGTAAAAAGGTGACCCACAATTGGAGTTCCAGAGTCCATAACTTGGCCAAATTTAATCCGATTTCAAAGTGGCATACCTTTTAAGACTTGTGGCTTGATTCTCTAAAAATCTGCATTCAAAATTTTTGTTTTAGCGTTGATCAACTTTTTGACCCATTTTCATGTTAGTTATCTGTGAGTTTCCGAGGAGTTGTAAAAAGGTGACCCACAATTGGAGATCTAGAGTCCATAACTTGGCCAAATTTAATCCGATTTCGAAGTGGCATACCTTTTAAGACTTGTGGCTTGATTCTCTAAAAATCTGCATTCAAAATTTTTGTTTTAGCGTTGATCAACTTTTTGACCCATTTTCATGTTAGTTATCTGTGAGTTTCCGAGGAGTTGTAAAAAGGTGACCCACAATTGGAGTTCCAAAGTCCATAACTTGGCCAAATTTAATCCGATTTCAAAGTGGCATACCTTTTAAGACTTGTGGCTTGATTCTCTAAAAATCTGCATCCAAAATTTTAGCGTCGATCAACTTTTTGACCCATTTTCATGTTAGTTTCTATGTCATATTTTTTAAAAGCATATATTCTAAGAAAACATTTCTGAAATATCAACTATTCACTTAAAAAAATTAAAATTTATAGAACTTATAAGTGTACAACCCGCTTAACGGTTTTACTATCGATTACTATCGGATAAACTATCGAACTTTTCCAGCGAGCGCACGTTTGTTTTTGCTTTGCGTTGCGGTCTATTTTAATTTGTATTTGGCGTAAAAGTGGGAAAACTAGATACGAAATGTCCGCCGGAGTGGAGGACATCAAGCTGGAGGCCCTGTCTCTCAGCGAGGGAATCCGGGAGTCACCCGTCTGCATAATCGTGCTGGGAATGGCCGGCAGTGGCAAGACCACGTTCACCCGGAGCCTCATCCAGCACGCCCAGAAGGAATTCAACCCGTACGTAGTCAACCTGGATCCTGCGTGCCGCGAAGTGCCGTATGCGACCCACGTGGACATCAGGGACACGGTTAACTACCGGGAGGTGATGAAGCAGTACCAGCTGGGTCCAAACGGCGGCATTGTGACCGCCCTAAACATGTTCACCACAAAGATGGCCCAGTTTGCGGAGCTAGTGCGCCGTGCCGGCGAGCGGGGACACAAGTGGTGTGTGATCGATACGCCCGGACAGATTGAGGTGTTCACCTGGTCCGCATCCGGGAATATAATCACCGAGGGACTGGCCACTATGTTTCCCACTATTGTTGTCTATGTAATGGACGTGGTGCGCAGCGCCTGTCCTACTACATTCATGTCCAACATGCTCTACGCCTGCTCTATTCTGTACAAGACGCGTTTGCCCTTTCTGGTGGCGCTAAATAAGGTAGGAATCCTTCCCGGGAGCCCATGATCTGTAATTAATGTATTTCCACCCGCCCCAGATCGACCTGCAGGATTGCAGCTTTGTGCTGGACTGGATGACGGACTTTGAGACCTTCCAGGAGGCTCTGGAGCAGGAACAGAGCTTCGTGAGCAACCTCACGCGCACCATGTCGCTCACCTTGGACACCTTTTACGAGAACCTTAGCACTTGCGGCGTGTCGGCCAAGACGGGCGTGGGTTTTGCCCAGCTTCTGAAAAAGATTCTGGACTGCGTGACCCAGTACGAGCAGGATTACAAACCGGTGTACGAGAAGATGCGGCAGGAGCGACTGGCGGAGCAGGCAGCTGGTCCAAGGCCAACTGACAATGTGGAAGAAGCCGGCGTAGCCGTGCCTCTGGGACTGGGTCTTCAAGTAGGAACACTCAGAGCTCTTAACTAAACTTACTAATAGATTTTTTTTTACGTAGGACCCACACCCGAACTCCAAAAACAGCGTGTTTCTAATGGCACCTGGTCTGGTGCCTCAATCCGCTGAGGATGACGAAAATGATATGGAGGAGGACGCAAAGGGCACCATGGAGGACCAGAACTTCCACAGCTTCGTCCAAAATCACCTGGACGCCCAGCAAAGCAAGCGGGACAAACTGCAGCAGAAACAGCCACAACCCTAAAGTGATATGGAAAACATTTCAGTTAGCATCGGTTAAGATTGGTTCCCATTTAAATATAGAATAAAAGGTTACTTTTTAAATTACGTAGAGGACGATTTGACGATTTATGGAAAATATTTTAGTTAAGATTGATTTTAATAGCTATTTTATTGATTTTCAAAGTTGAAAACAAAGGCATTATGTTTATTGAAGTAGGAAAGTCTTATTGAAATGGTATTTATTCCCTTTATTTTCCAATAGTCTTTTGAATTATTAGGAAAGTGATTGAAAAATTGTTAATACGATTCTTTAGGTCAACTACAATTATTTTCCACTTTGTCCGTACCTTTTATTTTACCATACCCCCTTGATAAAGGACACTTGGTTTCCCTTGTTTTTATGTTTTCTTCTTTATTATTCACTTTAACAAGCAAAAACATTCAATATAGTGTGTGTGTTTGTCATTTTCCGTCGGATATCTGTTTTGTATACATGGACTTAGTTTAGCTTTGCAAATTAGTGATAACATATACATATGGAGGATATATCCCGCTCGTAAATGTAAATGCAAGCCTTATACTTTGCGTTACATATTTTTGTATATATATATATATATTGTATGTATATATTATGTGTGTTGAGCAAATCAATTTTGAGTTGCGAGTGCTGCGCCCGATATCTTTATCTTACGCTATATAGTTGCTTCTCTGGATTTGTTTGGTTTTTTTATTGGTTGTCGCTTTAAATATTACGCTTACAAAAATACAGATCATCTCAAATACTTGTCAATGCTTCACAGTTATACACAGTTCATATAGACATACAGTAGTCCCCCGCTACAAACGTTATTCCCCATCTGGATTTTCTCGGCAAGCTTTTTTATGTGCTTTTTGGCTGCAAGCTGTGCAGGATCCTAACCCGGATCCTTGACCAGGCGTAAATGCATCCCTCAATATTTTTGTGCTGAAAATCAAGTACAGTCCACGCTCGATAAGTAGAAGCACTGCTTGCGCAAAAAAAGATTCTAATTTCTGGACGTTTTCATTTGATTTGAGTGTGTTTTTCCTAGGGCTCACACGGAATTAAGATCTGGTGGCATATAAGTATATCTTACTCTTTTTCAAATAAATGTCGAGGTACAGTGCGACTCAGAGCAGCAAGATCGTTTAAAGGTGGTTTAAAAATTATTCTAACCGCTATTAGGAGTAAAATTATGTTTAAAAAAGCTCGTTTTAGTTAAAAAGTATTTTTGTTTGAAATTAGTTTTTCTAGATTCTTGGAGCCCTGAAACGCACTGCACTCTTTAGTATAATATTTGTTTTGTGATAAATGGAAAGTTTACCTTTCAATTAAACTGTGTTACATAGTTCGACCTTAATTTTAAACATTAATGGAAATATACATTTCTAATAGATTTTAGTGCTGGCCACGTCAGCGTTTTGAAAAAAGGTACCTGAATGTTGGAAAAGGTGCTGTTTATACTCGTTCTTAAACTCAAAAACAAGCGATCAGAATCTTACTTTCTACACTCTTAAAATGTATGGCTACCACTAGGTTTTCAAATATTTCATTCCAAACAATTTTATGATTTTGTTAAGAGTTATTGAATTAGACAGTGGGTTTAGGATTGGGTTTACCAATATTCTGATATTACCCCCGCTAAAACCATTAAATTATTTGAAATAAAAATCCATAAGCCAAAAAGTTGCAGTGGCCATAATTAAAAAAATTATTTTTTGAGTTTCAAAAATGGTCCAAACATCCTTTTTCCCATTTAAAGGTCCACTTACCAAAAAACTGACGAGGTAGGACATTTGGATTTAGCACACCAACATCTAACAGAAAAGTGTATGATGAACCTTTTCGCATTAACACAGTGTTATAATTCGGATTTTCCAACTCAAATTACATATCGACTTAGCTCATGCATATTATATTTATACGTATATATCTTTATGTAACGTGAAAGCAAATCTCTCCCACACACACACTCAATCTCACACACTCGCAGACGCACACAAATTTTGGGATGGGGAAAAAGGTGCTTTCGAAAAACGAGTTATTAAAGCAGGAATTAATTTTTGGAAAACTATAAAGATTAGCTCGCTTTTGTTAGTTTTGTTGTTTCAGAAACAGTCTTCTTCATTTTTGTATTTCTTTTGTTTTTTTTTGTTTCATTTTCCGCTTGCTTTTTTTCGGAGAAGGGGAAGAAGAAACATAACAGAGAAAGTTTTTTGGGTTTCGGGACTGCGTTTGGTTTTTTAACATGTTAGCTTGGCTTTTTGGACAGCGCTGAGATCCGATATACATACTACATACATATATGGTGTGGGGCGTTCTAGGCTTAGATCTAGGTAAATACATGTGTGTCTTATAAAACGGAAGTGGGCGAAATCCCAGCGACTTTGGATCGCTTAAGCATGCCGGTAAAGAAAAAGCTTGAATCGAAGGTTAATCGGGAATAATATGGGAATCATCTAGACGAGCTCTAATTAATCGTCGTCCGACATATTTGTGGTGGTCAGCAGAGTGGCGTTATCCTCGGCGCCCTGATCCTCGATGTCCTGAAAAATGTAATTATTTTAAACTTATTTTTCTTAAAAAGACATCAATAATATCAATATAAGGTTCTTTCATAGGAGTTTTCCCCTAAGTAAGCTACAAAACTTTTTAAAAGACAGATGATACAAAGATTATAAGGTTTGGTCTTTAACACAAGGTACTCTGATTAATTAGCTTAATTCGAAATAATTAAATAAGCTTAAGAACTCCCAAACCAAATTTTTACCATTCAAAAATTATTATTTTATTCCATTTACAATTTTAAATGTTTAATAATTCTAGAAATTTGAAAGCTCTTCTCTACAAACTTATGTCCCCCAATAAAAAACTCTCTAAAAACCCTTTCAGTTTCTTATACAAAATATATATATTTTTTATATATTCAGCAAATATTTTGTTTTGCCTGGTTACAATCTTGTTCTTGATCTTTTTCTTTTTCTCTTTCTTTTGATTTTATAAAAAATATTTTTACATGCAAATAGGACGATCGGAAATTGTGAAATCATTTTTCAGCAATTGAACAATTTACTTAATGCAATAGCCATTGAAAAACACACATTATAGTAAGCTTTTTTTTATATTTTGTTTACTCTTTTTTTTTTTTAATTTTTTGTGTATGTATAAAAATAAAAAAAATTTGTTTAAAAAAATGATGTAAACTTAAAATGAAACAAAACATTTAGGCTAAGAAATAGTTTCTTTTGTGTGTCGAGGAAGTAAATGCAGCAGAAATGTTTGCAGTAGTAGTTTTGAGCTAAACGAGATTTACAAAGCCAGGGAGCCGTGGATTAGAATCGTGGCTATATATCTACTATATACTCTGGGCGCCTGTTCATGATGCTGCTCTATCTCTCATTCGTTTTGGATTGGAAGTGTGCGGAAGATTTTGTTGCTGTGTTTCCCGGCTTCTCACTTGAGCTTCTGCTTGATGGGACTGGGCGAACTTTGGTCCGCCTCGGGCAGATCGCTCTCCTTTTTGCGCTTGACTTTATCCTTGGGTGTCTTGGCGGGCTTCTTGGTTTGCAGCGCCAGTTTGGCTTCGCGTTTGGCCTCCTTCTTGGCCTCTCGCTTGGCGCGCAGCTGCTCCGTGATGAAGGAGAACACCAGGTAGCCCTGCAGGGCAATCAGACCGCCCAACGCTAGCAGGGATCTCACTCCACCGATGCCGTAGTACAGGGTGAGTACTCCTATCACCGACGTGGCAAAGCGGATCAGGAAGAAGACACCATTGTTGACCACACGCAGCTTGGCCAGGCGCTCCTCGCGATCGAAGACGCCAATTAGCTGGAAGACGTGCGACAGCAGCTCGCTGAAGTAGTGCAGCGTCAACAGAACCAAGGCCAAGCGCTGGAAACTGAGCGTATAAGCCAGGACAATCAGGGTGAAGCCGCTGATCGAGTGCACGATCTTTGGCTGCTGCTCCTCCTTGGTCTTGATCTTCTGGAAGTACAGCTCCGGCAGCATGTGCAGATAGTAGGCCAGCTGCACCACGAAGTAGAACTTGTGCAAAAAGCTCATTGGATGGTCGGGGAAGCCCTCCCACAGCTGGGCCACCTGGCCGAGATAGCCCTCCTTTAGCAGGACATGGGCGCCCCAGACGAAGGACAGCAGATAGAAGGCCACCAGCTGCCCGGACTCATTGAAACGGGCCAGCTTGAACTTGGATAGGTGCAGCTTTTTGCTGATCTTGTCCAGCACGAACTCCTGGATAATCGCGTGCATGATGATGCAGGTCAGCGTGTAGAAGAATATCGCACAGTAGTCCTTGATCCCGGCAATATAGGTGTAGGCCTTGCCATATGGCTGCTCCCTACTGGGATCCTCACCGCTGACATTATGATGCAGGGATATGAACGCACTGGCGAACGCCGCCGTCGATTCGTTCATCAGACCGACCACGAAAACCATGGCCACGCAGGAAATAATGTCCGCATGGTTCTGAATAACGAACTCGTGGCTCAGAATCGGAGGATTTTTGTTGCTGGTCTTGCGACCAAGTCCTGGTTTAATGGCCATCTCTCTGGCAGGTGGAAGTATAGTTGATGCAGGGGTTTCTGTAATAGTATGTGAGTTGGTTAATGAAATTCTATTGGTTACATGCCTTTATTTCTGACTCTTGAGAGCTTTTTTAATGTTTTTGTTATGGGAGGGCACCACTTATAACATATTTGGTTGCACTTTCAATGCTAGTTATTATTTAAGATACGAAAAACATAGACAAGGGATAATGAGGCTCCTCATATATTGGTCTTTACTTTGATAGGCTGTTGGCATCAGAAACCTAATAATACGATTTATCTTTAACAGTTCCCCAATTTAAGATATAACACAGTTTTTAATTGTTTCTGTTATCTATAATTATATGAACTTGTTCGTAGCACTATAATTACTCAATATAACAAGTAACTACTGTATCAACTGTGTTCCAAAATCGCTTATCACGAAGTAGATTCTCATATTAAAAAAAAAGTGATAACTAATATATTAAAGATGTTTTCTTACAACATAAAAAAATGGTATTAAATATCATTAAACTTTTGTCAACAGGTATCCTACAAAATTCTTGGATTATAACTCTTGGGGTATAACTACTGTATTGAAGATGCTTCTCTAGCATATGATTTTATAAAAAAGCCAGTTATAACATTATATCGGACACAAATAAAAAAAGGTCAAACGGCTGTCCAATAGCCCTCAGTTGGTCCTTGGATTAGGACACATAAGGGATATCTACTGTATTTGAGATGCTCCTCCAACAACAAACACATAATTTGCCTTGTTGGCACTGCACACACACACACACAGCCAAGGCTGCGCGCTCCCACACATTAAGAGACTCCAAGAGACACGCTGGCAAAAAATTGTTGTTGCACGTTTGCCATTTTTACTCACAGGATTTTCTCCGTTTGGGCCAAATTTCCGGCCAACTGCTGATGTGCAACGTGATTTTGCTGACGTAGGCGGTGTGTTGCGGTGCGGCACTCTAGCAGCTCCGATTCGGGTCGTGATCTGGAACTGAATCGGGGACACAAACTGAAATATCTGCTCTGGGCGCTCTGCCGCTGCCTACTGCACTGCTTGCTGCGCTGCTTCTGCTCACCTGTGTGCCGCGTGCGTGTGTGTTTGGGTCCCACCACACCAGGGATGGCACATCTCGCACTATTCCAGCTCCAATTTTTGTATTTTTGTTGTCTACTTACCGTGTGTTTGTCGGGCTTAAATTTTCACGCGAAATTCAATCATCACTTTCCACACTTTCTCACAGTCTTTTCACCCTTATAAGCACATATTTATTGCTTTTTATTTCACATTTTCTCAGCTGGTTCCACTTTCTGTGCAGCCCTGGCCAGAAATTGCCACGCAGCGCAGAGCCAAAAAAATATATGATGATGTGTACATCAAACTACCCAGGGCCAGGGCTGCAGAGGCTGTGACGTTTGTTTGGCGCCGATTTTTGTTTTGTTTAACTATTGTATTTTGGCCTAATTTGGTTCACTTGACACTTGTTCACACACCAGCTTCGCGAGTTAGCACTTTTTAAGTCAAGACTAGATTTCAACCGCCAATAACACATTCACTTGGTCGATGTTCAGCCCTGATTAGTTTCAGGGCTGGCAACTTGTAAGGCGCACAATTTGAAGTTTTGATTTTATTATTATTTCACCGTTTACACGACTGCCTAAAGGCAAAAAGTAACGATTATTAAAAAAATACATATTTATAAAATTACCTATATATATAGATAGATAGTTATTAAATATAATTTCTGCAAGCTAGAGCGCGCACTTCAAATTAAGTTATTAGATCGTTTTGAATGGTTTAAAGAAGTGCAATTTACTTTGCGAACAATCAGCTCTGCAGATTTACCGTAATCCGCAGTGGTGTGCTAACTTGGAAAGGGGCTCAAGGTCGCACCACCCACTACGCCGAGCCACCTTCTTCCGGTTCGTTGGTCAAGTTAATTGCATTTTGTACTCACATTGCGATTTCGCTTGCGGACGGAGGACACAATTGTGCGCTTGTTGCGTGCAACCAGGCAAACCGTTATGATCAGAATCACTCCAATGAGGGCGAACCCCAAAAGAGCGGGCAGCAGCACGCTATCCTCGTCCTTGAAACCCTGCGAAATAATGGGAAATTTATAGTGTTAAAGGAGCTCTACCACATAAGTGGGGGGCACCGGTACTCATACTCTATATTGGTCTTGGCCTAACTCATTGTGAACGATTTTACAATCAAAAGTTTGTCATTAAGTACTAGCTAACTTGAAAATAACGATAGCTTTATAATTTTCTTATGTGTGACAGAACAATAAACCTGCATACCCACTATCATAAGTCCAGCTTTCGTGGTTCCAAAGACCATTCTCAAGACTTTAGAGTGAGGACAGGGATTGCCCTACTAGGCACTCCACTTTAGAAACCATTAAGCCCCATGAGTATCGGATAACCCCAAAGTCACGCAATTGCGTGCCACTTACTTTCCATTGAAATAGGGTCGAGGGATCGATGTATGCCCAGTGCGTCTTAATCCAGGCGCTGTTGCTTTTTTCGTCATTCAGGCCAACTCCCGATCCCTGTGTCTGCTCCTCCGCGTCTGATTGTACGTGCATCCTGGAATTCTGGCCAGCTCCGGTTTGAATTTGAGGTCCTTGAGCCTTGGCCAAAACCGGTGGCATGATGGGTTTCTTGGCTGCGGACTTGAGTAGGGGAACCTGAATGATCCGAGTGGTGATTGTGGTGGCCGGTGGCATGTATCGCGGAGTGGTCACTGGCGGCTCCCTGGTCGTGGTAGTCGTAGTCGTTGTGGGAGGTGGTGTGGTTGTCGTGGTGGTGGTGGTGGTGGTGCTGCTGCTGCTCGTAGTGGGTGCCGTGGTAGTGGTGCTACTGGTGGTGCTGGAGTTCGGATTGGTCTTATTTACGCGGATCACGAACTGCTCTATGCCATCCCGATTCACAATCTGCACATTTCTTCCCACATTCTGCTGCAGCAGGGGTGACCCTGTGGGTAATATGGGATTACCAGCAGGCTCTCCCCTTTCACCACCCGCCGAGCCGCCTCTTTGTGGGCCTCGGATCAGGGCCGCCTTAGTTTTCAAGAACCATTCCGTGGGGTTTGGTAGACACTCGGCGGAGACCAAAAAGGGTATTAGCACGGCTCCAATGATCACGGTGCACACGAATATTAAGCCCAAATAGGCGAAGAAGGATCGTCGGCGGCGCTGACCCTTGACCTTCACGGATCCGGACCCGGAGGAGGAGGCGGAAGAGCCGGAGGACGTGGCTGCGCCGCCGGAGGAACGTCCCGACCCCGACAGCTTGCCCTCGATGCGAAAGTCGTCGTTCTGCGGCAGAATCGTGTACTGCAGACTGTTTTCACCGTGTCTGATGGTCTTATACATGGTGACCTGTTCTTCGGATCTGCCTCGGATTCTTCCGGAGCTGCCTCGCTCTCTTCCTCGGATTTTGGAGGATTCTCTTCTGCAATTCAGTTTCTTTATCACCCGTCTTTGAATCCCCTAAAAAGTATCACTAATTTGTGGCTTTTTCTGTTCTACTTTTGCAGCTCCTTCTTTAATCTGTTGTTTTGTAGATAGTATCTATGTCCTTTTCTTGTTGATTGTCCTTCCTTGGAGATTACTTTGACTCCTGACGTTCCTGCTCTTGAGTTGGCCTTAATCAAATTAAGACACGATACACTTACTTCCGTTTCTGTCTCCTTCTCTCAGCCGTTCTCCTGTTTTCCGCACTTCGTCTTCCTGCTGATTTTGTTATTTTGTTCCTGGAAATGCAACTTCTTTCACTTCACTGCTCTTCCCCTCTCTCACTTTCTTTCGGGTTCTCCTTTCACCTTTTGACGGTAAATACTCAATTTCCGCTCACCTTTGCTTTTCTGCAGGTGCCAAAGTCAATAACTCCGTATCCTTTTCCCACGATTTAACTACAAATCATGTGCTGCCTCTTCTCGTCCTCTACAAAATGTACTATCCGCGTTTTGTTGTCGTCCTTCGGGAATATTGTTTTGTTCCTGTTTCTGCTGCTGATGCTCCTTGCGCACTAAATTTTATGTTTTTATTGATTAAGCGTTTGTTGTTTTTCGACGCAGGCGCAGTTTATAGGTTACGGTAGAGTGTTAAAAAATGCGTATGGCAAAGGACCTTTTTAAGTGTTGAACAGGGGGAGCAGGGATTCAAATCCTTTTCAGGTTTAACTGTGGAATTTTATGGTGGTTTGTTGTGAAAGAAATTGATTTCTAGAATAATTACAAAACAAAGGGGAAACAGCAATAAGGACTACATGAAGGACTACATTTTCACATTTCTGTGACCTACATTTATAAACAACAATTTGTCTAATCAGCAATCAATAAATAGATCTCACTTAAATTACCCCCTATTATAATCGATTTGAATACTCATTATCTTACATTTAGACCTCTTCTATTTAAGCAGACTTTGCACCAGAAGATAACCTGAAATACTCGGATTGCAATCGATTGTTTCTAATGGATTGCGACCATTTCTTGCTAATAGATCAATCAGAAATTGCGACCGCAGACAGATCCAGATTTACGAGGTAGTCATATACCTACGGCCGTAAAGTTCCAACCATTCCACTGATAAGCCGGAAACGAGGGGGTGGGGATGAAAAAATGAGGTTTATCGGTAGCTTATCGGGGGTCGATAAGCGGGGGCCTAAGCGTTTTTTCCGAACAATCTGCATTGGGTTTCCAGTCACGTAAAATAGGGCAAGCGCTCAACAACATCTAACACTTCTTAGCTGAGGATTAATATTCATTGCGATCAAGAGGAGATTTATTTGCAAAGTATCCCCATCTGTGACGAACTTGCATTTCCTCTCACAATATCAACTATATATTCGAACGCAACTTCTTGAGGAAAAACATGGTCGTTCTTTTAATCCTCGGTCTGGTCATTGGCGCCTTAATGATCCTGGTGGTCGTGGCTCTCAAGCTGTTGGGTCTGAAGCCGCCATTAATTTTCGAAAAATACCCACTGAAAGGGATCTTTTATCGGGTGAAGTTTTGGCTCGCTTTATTGGTCCTTCGACGCCTAAGATACCGCATCTATCGAAGGAACGAGGAGTTACTCGGATCCTCGGAACATCTGGCTAAGGTTGACAGACCCCAAGAGCTCAGCAACGATCCGAAGAGCTACGATGTGGTCAGCTTTATGGCTGCCAATAAAGAGGGACACAAACTGATGGTTACTTTGGAGAGAAGAAGGCGTGGAGTCCTCAAAGCAGCTTTGTACCTTTGGCTTCCCGAGAAGGGATTGTTTAGTTCTCCAAATCTGCCGGATATGATATTTTTTACCACCGAAGACGGAGAGGAGAGCCACGAGTTCCAGGGTGGCGGTTTTCATGTTTATCAAGAGGAATCCATGAAAGTATGGCGGATCAAATATGAAGGTGTATTAAAGAGCCAAGGAGATATGTCAGAGGCCATACCAGTGGACTTGGACCTACGTTTTAGGAGCTCCACCGTTGAACACTTTGATTACAACAGAGATCTGAGTTCCTCTTTGATAGCTGACTCCATAGCCAGAGAGGCCTGGAATGAGAAATTCTACAGCCTGATTCGAAGTGTCAATCATATTGTGGAAAAGCGAACCCACTACGAACAGAATGGAGAACTATCGGGAAAGATCATCTTTCAGGGTAAGGACTTGTCCCTGAAAATGCTGGGCTTTCGGGATCACAGTTTCGGAACCGAGCGTTGTCTGAGCTCCATTAACCGATACGTGTACTTCGCCTTGTTCCTGGACGATGGCAGCAGCATGGTGGTGGGAAATCTCAGCCAGCCATCCTTTTTCCTATCCTCCTTGAAGGTGGGTTACGTCTGCAGTCCCTCTGGGAAGTATCAACCCCTCACTTGGAGCAATTTCGAGCTGTACTCTTACGGTGAACGGGGAATTCCCCCCCAGCATCAGAACTTCATTGTGCGCACCGAGGAGAAAGAGTACCTCATCCAGATCGAAGTGGAGGGATCTGCTGTGCGGTTTGTGGGCGGAGATTGGGAGTCCAAGGTGTTCAATCAGTTTGTGGCCTGTACGGTCAATGGAGTTTCCGGTCAAGGACACGCCGAGTTCCTGTATCGCAACAAAGGCGGTAGACCGGAGGATATATGCTCCAAGGACCCCAGCTGGTACCAGAACATCAAGCGCTTCGAAAGAAGCCTGACTTTGCTGGAGGAGGAGGCTGGCGATTTCATCTTCTAGGAATCGATGAGACCTTTTAAGTCATTTTTGTTTTTATTTCTAAGTTAATGTATGGAGAGAATATAATAATAAAGTTCTTTTATGTAATTCAGAGTTTTGTTGAACTGGGGTTAAAATTTCTGATGAGCAAATGATTTTTAATGGTTACCAGTGATATTAGGAAACTCTTTTTAATATAATAATACAAATAAAGGTAACATGCTGTGTCATGCTATTTATGTAAGAAATACTATCGATTTCAATACTTTTGAAGTGGCTGGCTGAAGCAATCTCTAAGTCCAAACTTAGTCCATTCAATTAAATCATTCACCAAATTCCGTAAACAAGAATATCAAGTCAAGGCTATCGGATGCAGCTGCAACCGAATCGGAAATGTTAACAATAGACTCTAGAATCTAGACGATAAGGGAGATTACGAAATCAGTTTGGGAGTTGGACCCCCCGGTTAAAGAATGGAGAACATTTTAAACATTTTAATCGCCAATAAATTAGCATGTGGCAATCAAAGAAATCGAGGAACGGATAAGATTAACTAAGTACTTAATTTCGGTTTTTCCTTTCGGTCGGTTTATATGGGTTCCAAAAGACAACGGACTAACTTATCGCCTTAAAACCGAAGACCAGGTGTCAAGTGACCAGGTGTCACAGATAAGACCCGAACAAAACGGGGGTATCTATAATTTAATACATAAAGTTCCCTTTATGAATAAGAATCTTGTTTTTCTGTTAGATTCCGACCTGCCGCAATGTCAATTTTTGGCTTGCCGATAAGTCATCGGCCATTATGATCCGCAAATATATCCCAGGTCTGTGCTGATACGCATGTACAACCGATTATACCCAGAATTCGACCATATCACGTATTTTATTGTTTAATTTGACCTTTTAACCTCCAAAGTCAAATATAATGTATTCGTAGTATTATTGACAAGACAATCCACAAGACAACCGACCCAAAAATACAAACCAAACTTTAAATACAGGTTTTTTGGAGGATTCGGGTTTAAGAATCAGTTTGAGGTATGCTATTTTAAAATAGGATTTTTGTAAGAAAAGTTATGTGCTTAAAAGTGCAGGTTTTAGGAAGCACTTTTAAGCATAGCCATTTTATTGAAATTTTTGTATTAAAATAACAATAAGTCGACCAAAATTTATAAGCCAAGATTTAAATACAGATTCTTAGAGAATCAACCCACAAATTTCCAGAGGTATGCCTCTTTTAAATCTTTTCTGTGGGATAAATTATGGGTGCCGTTACTAGTTCACTTTTCTGCAAGTCCAGATTTTTGGCAGGTATTACTATCTGGAACGGCGACTCGATGAGGGATATTTTACAATTAAAGATTACAAGTTAGTTCCCATAATGTGGTTTTTAAAGGTGTTTAAATATTAGTATTTGAATAGTTTGGCTAAAATCAATACAATCATGTTAACCTTTCGTTTGGGGCTACTTGAATATGCTAGTGTAGTACTCCTCCTCCAGATCGTACAGATCCATGGCCATTTCGTCCCTCAGTTTCATTAGCTTTTTGTCGCACTCGCTTTGAGTGTTCCTAAACAATTGCGAATTGTTTGTGATGGCCTCGTTTACCGAATGGAAATCGTTGAGGATAAGGTACTGCTTGAGGTCAGCCACTAGCTTCATCAGGGACTCGCCGGCGCGAACTGGAATATGGGATATATATCAGGGAATTCTTCACGACTTTTGAACAATTTGTGGCTTACCCATATTGGCCGCGCGGACCTGCATTTCCAAGGCATCCTGTTCGCATTGCGTTGTCTTGGAAATCTGACTGTGACTTTCACGACGCGCTAGCTTAAGAATTTCTGGAGGGGATCAGGGTATTAATTTCGTATGTTGTGGAACAGTAAATCCCTTTTTATTACCCTCAAAGTTCTCGAGCATGCTGCGAACGTCGTCTTTTAACCGCGCATTGTATGACTTTAAGAGCGCCTCTTTCGATTGCGGCAATATCGTTGTCCTTGAACCGCTGGCCATTATACTGATATTCCTCTTGCGCCTTCTTTTTTAATTCATCTACGCTAATTTAGCAATTTATCAAAGAGTTTTGTTTATTTTGAGCCAAACGCCGCTATTTTTGTTTGTTTTGTTTCTAAGTGGTGGCTCATCCCTGGGTAACTATCGGTGCCTGAACAATTGACTATCGATAGTCACTTCACTTTTTATAAAATATTTTTATTAAATAATGTCACCGATCAGCAGAACCATTTATTTATTTATTTATTTATATAAAGCTAGCTTAAGTTTTAAAACTATGAACTAACTATAATAAGAGCATTAGCAGCTGAGGCCTTCCGCTCGTCTGGGATGAAAGTAATAATTTAATTGAAAGAAATGAGAACAATTTTAGATTTTGTGAATAAGTTGGGCTTTTTGAAGAAATGAAATGATTTTAGTTAGTATGTTTTCATTGGAAGGGTTTGCTATGATGTTGGCTGGGTTGTCAGAAAGGAAGGATGTAGTTCTAGGTTGGGAGAGGGAAGGGCAGGAGCTTAAAATGTGGTTAATGTTTAAATGTGGGCTTTTGCAGTATGGGCAGGTGTTTGGAAGGGATCTGTCCATGTAGTGTGAGTTTGTAAGTGAGGTGTGTCCTAGTCGAATTCGGTTTATAATTATTTGGGTTTTCCTATTATGATTGGTGTGCGAATACGTAAAGCTGAAAGGAGTATTTTTAACGATACTGTTATACCAGGAAGAGGTATTGTTATGCAGGTCGGATTGTTTAAATTTATTATTGATCATGATGCAACAGGTTTTTCATTCTTATCAGCAAAATGTGAAACTACATATATAACTTAAACATTTACAAAAACTAGGCATAAATATCGTAGTAGCAGTAATATTATTAATTAATTAAGCAAGATTATAGAATTTTACTGTTAGGAAATAAAGATCTAGATTGTGGTAAATATAAATAAGAGCGGAATTGCTTACGAATTTAGCAACCGATAGTTGGGTGTCGTTCCACCACTAGGTGTTGGTATTGCCACATCCAAAGCCCAATTAGAACTTCGCAAACGATAATTGGGTGTCGTCCCACCACTAGAGGCCGGCATTGCCAGACCAAAAAACCTAATTAGACGCGCAATTGACCGGCATGGCCATACTAAAATAACCAAATTAGACGCGCGAATGTATATTTAATTGTGAATTTGTTAGTTATCGTTGTTAAAAGTGAATGTATAATTATGGAAACGCGCCTGGAAGTGCGTCTGCGTGAGCCGAATCCGTTGTTTACCCGCTGGCTGGAACGCTGGTTGCGGGAAGCGGAGCGACGCCAGCAGAAGTCCCAGTTTAAACTTCGCCAGGCACTGGAGTCCCTGAAAAGCTATCCATTACCTTTGTCCAGTGGACGGGATTGCTCGATTCTGCGAGGATTTGGAGGGACCCTCTGTCAGCTGATTGACGAGGAGTTGCGCCAGCACAAGGGCCTACAATTGGTGCCCCACGAGGTCGTAGTGCAGGAGCACTACGAGCAGCAGGTGCAGGAAGTTATCCGTCAGATTCATGAGAAACAAATGGAGCAGCAGAGGCGCCAGGACAAGAGGAGCAAACCCAAAAAGCCAACCAAAAAGGAGCAGCTGGAGTTGGTAGCCCTCGAGGAGCGGGAACGCCTGGTTAAGATGCAGCCAGGAGGATTTAAGTTGCTGCTTTTGGTGGACACCCAGGAGACCAGTGGCAAAAACAAGAGGGTTCTAGACCAAACGAGGAGCTACCTAGAATCCTTTGGAGCGCAGCATGAAGTTCGTCGTTTAACCATCGGCGACTTCCTTTGGATAGCCCAGGATTCAGAGGGCAATGAACTGGTTTTGCCTTACATTGTAGAGCGCAAGCGCATGGATGACCTGGCATCAAGTATACGCGATGGTCGCTTCCACGAACAGAAGCACAGGCTGCAGCAAAGTGGCTTGCAGAAAATCATCTACCTTGTGGAGGACTATGGGGACAATGAGCAGATCGGCCTGCCTCTAGACTCCTTGCTGCAGGCCCTTGCCAATGCCAGAGTTCAAACTGGTGTTCAGGTGGTGCGCACGGAGAATCACTACCGATCCATGAGCTATTTGGCCGGGATGAGTCGCTCCCTGGGTCAGATCTTTGCCAGAAAGATGCTGCACAGCGTGGATCGCGGGTCACTAGTCAAATCCTCTTGCGTGCTCACGGATTCCGAGCTAGGATTGCTTAAGTTTCGTGCCTTATACGAGGATTCCGCCAAGAATGCGCAGCTAACAGTGCGAGAAGTCTTTGTGCAACAGTTGTTGCAGCTGCACTCCCTCTCCCTCGAACGAGCGATGGCCATTGTGGAACAATATCCCACTCCACGCTGCCTGCTGGAGGCCTACGATGAGTCGCCAGATCCAAAAGAGGCCCGATTACTCCTCTCCAGGATCCCGTACGGACCCTTAGAACGTCCGCTGGGCGACAAAATCAGCCAGTGCCTGCACGAATTTTACACCACGCACTTTCGTTAGGATTAGCAATTGATTTAATGGACATATCTAAAGTTATATACACAAGTTTATACATTAAGTGAGAGAGAATACGATTTGGACTAAGGTTCCCATTGGACATTGAATAGTGTGAGCTAGTCTAAGCCAAAAATGTACAAGTCAGCCGCCTAAATGTTGCGGAAGTGCCGGATGGCCAGGTCCACCGGCAGGTCGAAGTCGAATCGAGATAGAGCGTCGATGGAGCGCAGCGAATCCCGGAATCCCGTGCGGGCTACATAGCTGTTTGCCGAGTAGTACGTGTCCACCAACTCGTGGCAGCTAAGCATCAGGTTCAGCCACTCTACCAACAGACGGGAGCTGTTTGAACAATAGAAAACCAGTTTGAATGAGAGAAGCAAGACTGCAGGATTATAAAGGTTTTTAAATTTTAAGCTTATTAATATAAGACACGTGAGTATTGAAAGGGAAAAGTAAGACTTCAAGATCATAATTAATTATTTAAAACAAATGGTTTTTGGGCACAACATTTGCCTTATCAACACAATTTAAATATTATTTAAAAACATTTGCAACATAATTATTTTTAGCTTAAACGTTTGGTCATATCAATAAAATATAAATATTTTAAATTTCCTTATAAAAAACTATACTAATTAAACATTTTAAGTATACGGTTTATTTCAGTAAATGGTTATTTTGAAATATATACTTTGAGACTGTAAAATATAATCCCTGGTTTTTCGGGATGTGACTACACAATATATGTAGTTTTGAAACTATTAACTCATATTGTACTGAAAAGTCTTGACATAATTGGACTTTATTAAACAACCGATTGCATTTTAAATATAAATATGTGTAATGACTAAAATTATGCCATTATAATTATTAAGTATTGAATATTTTTGGAATTACCATTCAAAGGAATACCAAAATTGTGTAATTATATATTTATATCACCGATCACCATTACTCACACAAATGAACTACTATGTGTGGTGACCACGAATTTATATATATAATTGCATAGTCTTGAAATAATAGTCTGTTCTTAAAGACCTGGTTTACTAACCCCTTTCTGATTTCTCAGCCTTTGTAACGACATCGAAATACTTACTTGAGTCCGGCGCAGACGAAGGCCTTGAAGTGGGCGTTGTTGCTGCGTTTGTAGGGGCGGTGCATGGCCAAAATCATCCCCACGGCGCTGAGCAAACTCTGTTTGGCGGTCACTGCCTGGGCGTCCACGATGTCCAGCTGGAAGCTCTGCGACAACTTACGGGCGGGCGTATTGTTGTACTCCTCGCCGTGCTTTAATCTATAATAAGCCAACACAAGTTCCCAGGCATGCATGGCCCTGCCCAAGCCGAGGAACTGCGAATCTCCTCCACCTGCCGTTGGAATCACCGGAGGTCCCGGATGTAGACACCTCATGAAGGGCACCATCAAACTGGAGGCAGCCGATTCCGCTGGGATGCGAAGTCCATGTTGAATTAGCTGCTGCAAAGTGCGGGCAAAGTTCTTTCGCACCACCGTGGTCAATTCCCTGCCAATTGTGGCTATCGAGTCACCGCGCATGTGCGCCATTCGGCGGCTCTTGCCCTCCTTCTCCCACTCGAAGTTGGAGTAGCTGATGTCCTCATCGGAGTCGGAGGATATGGCTCCGCCAGCTGCATATGGTGCCAGTTCGTGACCGGTTGGCACTGCTCTCCGGCAAAGAGGCGGCAAGGTGGTCAGCGCTCCGTTTTGCGAATTGATAACCGGATGACCCACGGCGGAGGAGGAGGTGGACTCCGCCTGTTGTTGCTGCTGACGCAGAGCCCGCTTGATATTGGCCAACTTTTCGCGATCGCAGCTCAAAGTGGCGGCTAGTGCGGCCACCTCCTGAATGTCTACCTCCAGCTGGGCACGCAGATCCCTAAAACGGGTGAAATATCAAGTCAGGTTGGTTTACCTTTCTGTGGTGGTGGAATCGATAATATCTAACCAATACATTTTAAATAAACTTTAACAATACTAACCCAAAGTTATCAACACTGTTACATAATCGTTTTTTACTCGAAAAATTTCGGAGACACCGAAACATTTGGGAACACTCTTCTCTAATCATAACTAACCCAAAACTGCAAGAGACTTTAGTTTTTTATAATCAAATACAAATAATTATTTTTACCACAGTTTTAAGTAAATAACTATTTTCATTTTTTTTAAAACTATTACTTTAAAAACAATTTTAACTTTTCCTGATCTAAAACCTATACAAAGTGTCTAGAAAGAAATCTGGTTTAGGGTTTTTCGATGTATAACCATTCTATCGCAACTAATTCGTAACAATGCTAATGTATTCTGACTTAAGAATGGCTAGACCCTCTTGCTTAAAGTAATAATGGACACCTAAACATCTGTGCTTTCTTACAAAACGAAAAACAAGAAAACACGAATCTTACCCCCAGTGGTTGCCCTTGTGCGTTTTCTTCAGCAAGTTCTGCTGGAATTCGTCGTGGCTTCTTGGTTTCGCCAGGTGCGTGCTGGCAAACATCTGCATGAGGATGGAGGCCTTGTCCAGGAGGCCGTGTGCCTTGCTGTGCAGACTCTCGCCAGGGGAATGGGAGTGGGAACCCAGTCCGGAGGACGGAGGAGAAGCTGCCGTCGTGGCAGGAGTGCTGGCCACTCCCGGCGGAGCAATTGAAGCTGCCTGCGAACTGCGGGCCGTCTGCTTGGCCGCGTAGCTATTGTACGCCCCGGACAGGAGTTTCAATCGATCCCCAACGGATCCCTCGACCACATCGCATTGCAGGAAGGCAATGAAGCGCTCCAGGTCGGTGATCTGCGTCTTCAGTTGGGCCACCAGTTGCTCCTTCATCTTCAGCGGACCCACGAACTCGCCAATGGCATTGTCCACCTGGTGTCGCAGCTGCTCCGTGCTGAGAGCCGGCAGCTCGTGTTGCTCCACCTGGAGATTGAGCTTGGAGCGAAGCTCGTCCAGGATGAACTTTTGCTTCTCGAGCATTACGTGCTGCGGCAGGATTCCAGGTTCTCCAGCTTCGTAGGCGATTTGTTCGAGTTCCGTGAGCTGAGATTTCAGTTGTTCAATGAGCTGGCTATCGGCGCCAGCTTCCTTTTCACCCTCGATGGAGTCCTTCTCTGGCTGCGACTCCTTGGGCTGCACTGCCTCCGGAATGCCCTGGAAGGCAAAGTCTTCGAGGTCGCGAAGCAGTTGATCCCGCTCACCAGCCGGCGCTTCCACAATTTGCCGCACTCTCAGCTGGACGTGGGCGAAATGGGAGGTCAGGGCCAGCAAGGAACTGGTGAGCAGCTCCTGCTCCTCCTCGATGCTCCGCAGGCGAGCCAGTTCGCTGCCAGTGCTTCCTCGTCGCGTTTCTGACTTCTCCAGTCCTGGCTCCAGTTCGCAATCCACGCCAGAACTGGCGCTGTTTGCATCATCGTAGTTGGCTCCCAGCGGAGACCAGCGTTCGCTCAGCAGTTCCTGCTGCTCCTGTTCGACCTCCGCTTCCTCATCCTCGGCAGAAACGGAGGAACCAGCTGGCAGCTGGCCTTCGACCGTCGAGGAGGAGGAGTCCTTGGGCTCCTGGGCCTCCTGGCCCTCCGCCGTTTTCATTTCCATATGGAAATGCTGCAGGGACTGCTGTTTGTTCCTATTTCCGTGCTCCGTTCTCCGTGTTTTCAATGCTCGAGAAAAATCAATCGGTGGCTTGTTCCGCTTTGTGTGCCAGCTGGCCCAGCTCCCTTGCTCTCTTCTGGCTTTCGAGTTTTTTGGCTAACAGGGGGATGTGTGGTTGAAACGATGAGCGCGCGGCCACGGTTTCTGACGCACTGCCACTTTCTCCCGAGGTTTCGCATTGGGATTTCCCGTCTATTCGGGGGTGGAATTGTAGCTTCAAGTTGCTTTTGCAGAGCTTCGCTGTGGGTTGCTATCCTTACTGATATAAAAGCTTTGATACTTTCATAGTTTTTCAACGCTAAAGGCTGTTCCAGACACTGAGTTACTGTATTGGGGCTTTTATATCTTCCCAACCCTTTATTTTTGCATCCCACCAGTCAAATCTATAAGCTTTTTATACCCTTGCAGAGGGTATTATAATTTTGGTCAAAAGTGTGCAACGCAGTGAAGGAGACATCTCCGACCCTATAAAGTATATATATTCTTGATCAGGATCACCTCCTGAGTTGATATAGCCATGTCCGTCTGTCTGTTTCTACGCAAACTAGTCTCTCAGTTTTAAAGCTATCGGATTGAAACTTTGCACACACCCTTCTTTCCTTTGCACGCAGTATATAAGTCGGAACGGCCGGGATCGGCCGACTATATCCTATAGCTGCCATATAACTGATTGATCGGAAATGCCATAACTTTCGTGTTTGTAAAGTTAGGAAGTTGGGATTTTCTATGGGTTTTATATTTGGCCAATCAATCCGACCTACCAAATTTCATAAGGATCGGCCGACTATATCCTATAGCTGCCATATAACTGATTGATCGGAAATGCCATAACTTTGGTGTTTGTAAAGTTAGAAAGTTGGGATTTTCTATGGGTTTTATATTTGGCCAATCAATCCGACCTACCAAATTTCATAAGGATCGGCCGACTATATCCTATAGCTGCCATATAACTGATTGATCGGAAATGCCATAACTTTGGTGTTTGTAAAGTTAGAAAGTTGGGATTTATTATGGGTTTTATATTTGGCCAATCAATCCGACCCACCAAATTTCATAAGGATCGGCCGACTATATCCTATAGCTGCCATATAACTGATTGATCGGAAATGCCATAACTTTGGTGTTTGTTAAGTTAGGAACTTGGGATTTTCTATGGATTTTATTTTTGGCCAATCAATCCGACCTACCAAATTTCATAAGGATCGGCCGACTATATCCCATAGCTGCCATATAACTGATTGATCGGAAATGCCATAACTTTGGTGTTTGTAAAGTTAGGAAGTTCGGATTTTTTATGAGTATTAAGAATGCATCATATGAATAATTTTGGAGAATATAATTTACAGAGTATTCTGCAAGGGTATATCAACTTCGGCTCCGCCCGAAGTTAGCTTTCCTTTCTTGTTTTTCTAAGTTTCAGTTTATTTATGAAAAAACTTTATTTGATAGAATAATGTAAAATATGTAGATTGTGTGGACTTAATTTTAACCAGTGCGAAATCGTAATGATTGCTAACCTACCTTTCTTAAAAATTATCTTTTAACATAACTTTCTTGTCCTGTTCAATAATCATTTCGTTGATATAACGCCATATAAGTAGATGTTGTTACTTTCTTTGGATCCTGGTAAACTTTATTTAAAATAAAAGTCATTTCTACGGCTTTTGAGAAAGGTTTAAAAGCTTTTCTTAAGGGATACCTGTAAGGGATATAAGTTAAACTTCGCTTCAGATTTTAAATTGCTAGATAAAAGACAATAAACAAAAGATTGAAGATAACTTATGTCCTGCATGTTTTAATTTGAAAAACCTGTATCCTGTGAAAGCTTTTGACCTTAATAGCTTTCTTCAGCTAAGCTGAAGAGCTTCTCACCACTCCCCTTAAAGCTCATCCCAAAGTTGTCCCAATGTCGCGATTTGTTTACTCTTTTGAGGGGCGGGGACTCATGAAACAATGACAAATATGACCTACATTACCAGCATATGAAACGTTGACCGCACGGGGGTACACGCGTTTGCCCCCTGCACACCTCCAAAAATACAGTGAAATGCCCTGTTATCTTCGAGTGCTTCCTGATAAGAAGCTGGGGGAGATTAAACCGCAGCAAACAGCTCTGCGGTCTGGTTCCCCTGTCGCTGACAAGGCACCTTATCAACTGCCGGCTGATGATGGTCCTGATAAGTCTGTCAAGTGTCTGACACCATGGCGGTCATTTTGGGGTCACCCCCGCAAAGCCGACTCAGGCACTCAAAATTAAACATTATCAGTTCTTCAGACAATCTAAAATACAACTTACGTTTTGAAAAAAGAAATATCAGTTGTTAAGATATTAGGTGATTGTCTGTAATAGAAAACTAAAAAGTACGTTGTCATTCCAAAGAAACGGGGGCAGGTATCAAGGTTAAAAAATATACAAATGGTAATGTTTTAAGCATTATAACTCACTGCTGTTATCAACTATTTCATCTGAAATACTTTAATTAGCTAAACGACTTGTCGTCGTTTTAAAATCTTCCTTACTTTTTAAGTATCTGCCCCCATTTTTGTTAAACACTTTTTTTCAGAGCGTATACAACTTATTTATTACAAAAAAAAATAATAATAATAAGTGGGAGGAATTAATGGAGGAAACGTAATTACGGGTAGCACGCTTAACGAGGCGTCAGATTGTTCTTGCCACCATCGATGGGCAGGAGGGCGCCGGTGGTGAAACTGGCCTTGGAGCTGGCCAAAAAGGCCACGGCCTCGGCGACTTCGGTGACATCTCCGACGCGGCCCATGGGATGCGAGGCGATGGCCCGCTGGAGCACACCGTTGTACTCCTCGTCGACAATGCCGATGCTCCGATGAATGTTGGTCACCACAAAGCCGGGATTCACCGAATTGACGCGCACACCCTGCGGTGCCATTTCGAGGGCCACGATCTTGGTGAAGTGATCGAGGGCCGCCTTCGAAACTCCGTAGCTCAGGGCTCCGGCAAAAGGACGAATGCCGGCGCAGCTGCTCACATTGACCACGGCACCCTTGGTCTTGAGGAGGTGCGGCAGCACCGCCTTGGTCAGCAGGATGACGCCACGCAGGTTGGTGTTCAGCACCGAATCGAACTCCGCGATGTCCAGGTCGATGAGGCCACCCTTGCCCAGGATGCCGACATTGTTAACCAGCACATCGATGCGTCCAAACTTGGCCAACGTCTGCTGGACAATCGCATCCGCATCCTTGGTCACATCGGCCACCACAATTTCCGCCTGAGCGCCCTTCAGGTTCTTCTTCGTGGCCTCCAGGTTGGCCACATTGCGACCCACCAGCGCCAAAGTGGCGCCTTCACGGGCCAACACCTGGGCAATGGCGGCACCAATTCCGCTGCTGGCTCCCGTCACGATCACCACCTTGTTGCTGAGACTCATCTTGAACGACTGAAGCCGGAATTCGCCCAGGTGCGGAATTTATGGACGTGCTCTCCGGCCGCCGATAAGATTACACCTGCACTCCAAAAAAATGTGTTATCTGTGATTGCCTTAAAAAGGGAAGGCAAATGATTCCATTTATTTAGAGCATGATTTGATTGTTTGCCTGGTAAGATTTGTTTGTTTGCCTAAGAGTTTTTTGGTTTAGGCAGGTAAACAATTTCTAAGATATCATAAAATTCGTTAAAATGATTCTTTTAAATTCAAAATTCGATTTCAAAGTGGCATTATCTACTAATCTTCGAACTTTTCGAAATTTTCTTGTCATGTTATTTAATCGAAGTGCCCATTAAAGATTGTAAATGTTGATTTTGGTGCCAGATTTGTACTATTCTTTGAACTGAGGTATATACCACCATGATTAAGTTTAGTTACGATGGGCTGAAGATGGGACCCACACCATTGTTTCGAAACCTTTTGATATGTATTTTTAAGTTTACTGTTGGCTCCTATTTTTTCGCAGTGTGAGCGTGACGTAAATGGTCCGTTGCTCTCCGGAAAAACAACCTGTAGAGGTTCACCTTGGGCCTCTGAGTGTCTTTATCGATGCTCTAGCATCGCATTAGCAGCCGGCTCGACTTGGGTTTTAAAAGTCAGAGCCGAAAGTTTTTAATTAAAACTGTCCGTGGTTCTTGTCTGATTTCAAGCATTTGTGAAATCATAGCATATCGCCTGGAAGACGGGCCTCCAAAGACGTCAGCCCCCCTCCCCCCATTCGTTCAAACTTCAAGTTGAGCGGCTCCGTTGTCAGATAATTAGCATTTCCATTTGGCTTGAGTGCGCGCTCGTATATCAACGCCTCCTAGCGAAGATAAGGCTCTCGGGGTCTCCAGCTGGAGGACATTGGGAGTGATTATGGTACAGTGGAAGTTCAGTAACTCAAACCGCCATTTGTCCGCAGATAAATGGCCATTTGAGATGTCCAGATAGAAAGCAGCCCCCTGCTTGCCCCCACTTCATTTAGTTCGACTTAAAGACATGTTGACTTAGGGCCGCGTTTCGGTTGAAGACGTCTCACTGTAAATATATATGATTTTGGCCCCAAATTGGACTGGGCTCTTGATGGTGTTTTTGGCACTAATCGTTTTTCTTGTTAAGTGATTCTCTCTGGTTCGCCAATTACTCAAAATCTATGACTGAGTGGATTAATTAATTAAAATGGCAAAGCAATGCAGGCCCAGAGGCAAACGAATTTATATTATTTCTTAAATCCGATTTCAATGCCTTTGCATTAAAGTGGTGGAGATAAGTTATTGCATATTGCATTTAAGTGCTTAACTGGGATTGTTTAAATGCTTGAATTTAAGATGAAAAGTATTGAGATTAAACAAGACTTTCGCTCTCAAAAATGACTGATTTAATTATTTTAATTAATAACATTGACAAATACAAATGCCCAGTGTTTGTTTGCTTGTGAATAGAGGCGTCATTGGTCTCCATTATCTCCATCGATGAATGAAGAATACTCCAGCCACACTTCTCCGCACTCTCGAGTCCTTCGATCCAACTCAATTTGTCCTGGCTGGAATGTCACAATGTTATACTGGCAAGCGTGATAAGCCCGGGCTGTCGATTTCTCCGATCCCCCGCCTGCATTTCCTGCCTTCTGACTTCTTGTGCACTCACTTTTAACGCCAAGTCAGTGGCAGGGCATTAGAGAACAGAAAACAGGAGTCCCAGTCCTGGTCCTCCTCCCAACCCAAGGATGCATTGATAAGTGCCAGTGGTTTATGGAAATTGATGGAAAGGAATTCGTGTAATTGACAAGCGAAACGAAATTGCATACAAATTGCTTAATCCTAGAAACTTCCAATCTAAAATAAATTAACTTTTAATTAAACCAAAGCAAAAGAACCTAACAAACAAACAAACAAAAAAAAAAAAGAAGAAAATATCAGGAAAAGAAAGGCAGCTCGACGGGCCGAAGCATAAAATACCCTTGCAGATTGTATCGATTGAACTTGAGCTTGAAATTGAGGTATATACAAAGGCCAACTCTTGATATTATTTTAAAAAGAGCCTTATAGCGGACACTTATTGGGTAATATGTAATCGGATTAACTAGACGCCAAGCTCTTGCCACAAATATTGCAACCCCTGCAAGAGTGTATAAGGTGTGGACACGAAGAACTAATATAAGAATTAAGTTAAATACTATGTACAGCGGTGGAATGGCAACTGAGTTGGAAACTTGTTACGGCGGCGGTATTAGTGCCAAGTCGCAAAGGAGCTCACTTCAAAGCAGCCTTATTCTTCAGCGGCAGGAAGGCGGCCATCAAGCAGCCAGCTGTAAAAAAAAGGGAGCAAGGATTAGGAGTCAGCTTTGCGAATACAGTTCGAGCCACTTACCCAGCATGAACGAACTGATCATTAGGAACGGGGGCACACAGCCCAAACCCATCAGTGCCGGGAAGAAAATGTTGCCCAGCAGTGAGCCCAGACGACCGAACATCATTTCCAGCGAGACAATCATCGTCCTAAATGGATTATGAGTAACCAAGTCGGAAAAATCAATACGAGTTTTTGTACCTGAGAGAGGTGGGAAAAAGATTGACTGAGGCACTGATCACTGAAGTGGCCGATATGCTGCCCATGGTCACGAAAAGCGAAGCGATCGCCACTGTGGATATCGCTGAATTGGACCAGTACATCCCAATGGAACAGCAACCAGCAACAAAGAGTCCCATGGCTAAAATTTAAAATAAGTATTGAATTTCCCAAGCTCTCAAATCGATTGGTATAATTTGATTAAAAGCCACTTGTCAATAGTTTGTAAGCAATACCAGTAGGGAACATAGAATACTTACTCATGATACGCTTGACGCCGACCAGGTTTACCAGGAATCCAGCCAGCATATATGCCACAAATCCCGCACCAGCCACGATTAGGTTGTTGGTATACGTAGAAGCAGTTATGTTCACATGGCACTCAACATTGGGATCATTTCGAGTGGCTGCCTCCAGTTGGTTTTGGGTACGATTTACACTGTACTCCAGGATATTGCATATGCTCGTCGATTCCGACTGACCGTCAATCAATTGTTCGTATTCGTTGATCGAAGCAAACAGTTGTGGCAGCCACAACCGCATGGTGTTCTGTCTATGAGAGGGATTATATAACAATTAAATTCGTATTCACTGTATGACATTACATTCATCAGATACAATTTTTATAAGAGGATGATTTTTTATATACTTTTGCACCGAATTTTAGGTAACAGTGCACCTATCGTTGTTACCATTTAATTGTTATTTCAAAAAAAAAAAAAAAAAAAAAAAACATGACCGAATTAAATATCTGCGATTAGAAAATATTAATTGACCTACCCCAAAAGCACGCAGAAATTGAGGAGGTACACCCATAGAGATAGGCCCAAGTAGGGCTTTGTGAAAAGTGGGCGCAGCTGGGTAAATCCCGATCGCAGAGAGCTCTTCTTAGCGTCCTGACTTTCCGCATCCTGCACCTCTGCACTTTCCATTGGCAGTTTGATCTCAATGGGAACATCCTTTCCCTCCTTGTGTTTTTTCACTGGAACGATTACTTCATTGGCCAGCAGTTTGATCTGTTCGGTAAATAATTGACTCAAGATTAGTTTATCTAATTATACGAACGCTTAATTGTCTTTCTTACTGGAAACGAATCCTTGGGCTTTCGTGAGTTCAGATGGTATATTATTTTGAAGGCGGTCATAGCCTCCTGGTTGCGTCCCTTGGACATGAGAAACTTCGGGCTCTCAGGGAAGAAAAAGAAGAGCACAAAACTCAGGAGACTGGGTAATGCTGTGATGGCAACGAAAACTTGCCAGGATGCGACTGAAAAAAATATGTGAATTATATTTTATGATTAGGACCTCCTTACACGATCTGACTTCTTATCTGAATTATTTTGGCTTTGCTAAGTTGTCTTAGGTCTTCTTTCTTTTTATCTACCCGAGAGCTTTACTCTTGTAAATGGACCTTAAGCAGTATATCTAATCATTAATGTTTGTTTTGGCGTCTGAGGAACCTGTTTGGTAGTCTGTAGTTTGTACACACTTACTACTTTTCTTATGATCCGTATCATAAAGTGTTTAGCTAAAATCTGTCAAACAGTCTATCCACATGGATTATGGCATTAGTCGTTTGTTATTATTTTGTTACTCTACTACCTTAATTTGACTTTATCATTAAAGCTTTAGATGAAGATAGCACTAACAACTTAAACGGCGCGTGGAGTTCATGTAATGTTTGACTGATTGTTCCCATGGAGCAGTATCCCGTATCATCAGCTGTTCTCCGTTAGTCCATCAGCTTATCTGGGTATCAGTTATCAGTTATCTCCGCCTACCGCTGACCTTATCACAGTTAAACACGTAACACGCCCTCGGGACTTACGTTTTAAGGTCCAGACATGAAAGTCCCACGTTTGGGGCAAAATCAGCATGGCCAATCCGGGTAACGTAAGCGTCGCAATGGAAAACATAATGCCCACCATCATCATGATGCGCTGACGATGCTTCCGTCCATGCATTTCCGTCAGATAGGTCATCAGCACGGCAAAGGGACCACTCATACTGGATGAATCAGAGAGATGTAGATGCTATTATGGGATTAGTGAGATGGCTACTTACCAGAAGCCTCCCAAGTACTTGAAGACCATCAACTGGATTCGATTCTGACTGAAAGCCCCACCCAATACGCATACCGTATCGGCGGCATAGCCCACAATCAGGAGGTTCCTCCTGCCCTTCGTGTCGGCCAGGTAGCCCCACATCACCGCCGAACTGATCATGCCGGCATACGTGATGGCATTCAGGATGCCCTTGTCCAGCAGGCTCAATTGGAGATCACACTCGGCGCTGGGCAGGATGTAGGACATTGTGGAGGTCTCGTAGACGGTGCCCATTGCCGCTGGGATGGCGGCAACCAGGAGCAGAATGTTGAACATCCCAAAGCCAGCTGAATCGATGGCTGTCTCGAAATCCGCCGCTGCATCATTCTGGGGAGGCTCTTCTTGTTGCTCGGGAATCTTGGGCAACTTGGAATCACCGGATTCGGACTCTCGGGATTCACTCATCGTGCTTAGTGCTTGGATCGCTTTAGCTAACTGAATTTGAGGCGTTGGGCGAATACGTTATATCTTCCCGACGGCGCTGGGGCCTCAAATCATTTCTGTATCACAATCGTCGAGTGACGACGAGCGATGCTGAGTCTAGAGACTTAGAATCACCCTACAACTTCAAGTTTAGGGTCTATTAGTAGTATTATTCATCCATAGAGTTTCATAGTTTGGTTGCACTTTCTTCAATCCCTCAGTTCAAAGAAAAGAGGCTGAAGAATCTCCATATTACCCTGCAAATGGAGCTACCGAATACAAGCGCACACGATGAGGTCTCAAAACCCCCTCTCCAGGGAGGATACCCCGTGAGTTCACCTTTCCATCCATCAACCCCTTCCATTTTGGGCAGGCATGAAAACAATTAAACGCCTCCCTGTTTATTTAGCGGTTTATGGGCTCCCCATCATCCGCATCATCAGCAGTATCAACAGTATATGTGATCACTCCGGCTGCGACTGTCCACGCGAATGGGAGGTTTTATTTCCACCGTGTCTCGGTTTACTGATTGGAAGGTTCCCTTTAATTTAGCCACCTTTGGGTATTTCGTTTCCTTGGGAAGTTTAAGATCGTGAAAACAGAGGGAGTGATTTATTACACAGCTAAATATATTCCTTATATTTGTTATCTATCGTACAAGAGTTGTAGTTTCAGTTTATTTAAACTGTGAAGGCAGAATATTTCGCAGTAAAAGGATTGTTTTTAAAAGGAAACTAACAGATTTATTCTGCTAATACAGTTATAAATACTTAGTATATATTTTCGTTAAAGCATCAGAGGAATTTAATAAAATGTGAATAGATATTAAATTATAATAAATTAAATTCCGCTTTCTAATTAAATATTTTAAGGCGAACATATTTGTGTTGGGATGAGAACGATTAATTAATTATTCCTTAAGTTTCCTTAAATGGTATTTTAAAGTTGCCATTCGCATGCTTCGACTTAACACCTATTTTGATTGCGGCTCCTATGACGACATGGCAGCACCTCTCTGATTTACGTTGGCTCCCCGTTTCCATTTCCATTTCCATTTGCCGGCTTGGCAACCGTTGTCGTCATCATCGGGCTAAACTAATTGCGATGATTACGGGTTATGAGTTGGTTTCCCTGCTAAACTTTTCGGGATTACGATTACTCATGTAGGAGCTTAGTGCTGTGGTCTGGTTTGTTTGGAGCTGCTCGGTCTTGCTTGGATTTCGGCGTGTGCTGCGATTTGTTTTCACAGTGGGGGCTCGTGAGGCCCTATGTGCCGTAGATCAGGATTTGATAGTAATTAAGCGCGCTTCGAGCGGAAAAATCTGGAAAATCGAGCAATTAGGGGAAGCTTAGTCCCCAGCGGCAGCTTAAGGCGCAACTTAAGGGACATAGTATCGTTTAAATGTTGAGTAATGTCTAAGTAGTGACAATGTTTTGTCTTCCTGTTTCTTAGAATTAATTATTGCGTGGCTCCAAGTATTGTTGTTTTGATGGATCTGTTTGGTTGGGGTAAACACAAAGTCAAAATAATCTCAAATAGTGATGCATATTTATTTGTTGGTGAGATAAGCGATTTCCAAGAATTTTAACCAAATGTCTTATACAATTAGTGAGCAGTATTGGAAGCAACCAGTAATGAATCTAAGAATCAGATCATTTTTTTAAATGTTGGTTCCAGCCACTCAGATGACGTTAAACAAGAGCCTTATAAAATTAATTACCTTTTCTCCTTTTAGATTTCGCATCTTAAATATGTTTCGCAAAATACTTTGTGCTAGTGCTTCCCATTTTTGATTTAAAAGTTAAAATCCCTTTGCCGAAGACATTCTTGTATGGTTTTTGTGAAATTCGAGTTGTCATGCACCTGCACAGAATGATTTATTCATGGTAGTCGACAGCATTTAATTAAGATAAACAAGTACTTGCCATGCAAGAGCAGTATTTAATCGACTAAAAGAAGGTGTTCATTCAATCCAGACCCTTGCCTTTGTCTTGTTCCGAGCATTTTCCCCAGGAACTCCGCCCACTGTTTTCTACCAAGGGCCATGACCAAGCTCAGTGGCAATAAACGACATGACGAAATCTAGCCAATACTGAAATTTTTCCACGCTACAATTTGTTTAATTTCATCAGCTACGGATGCCAAAAGGCGAAAAAGATTCATTACGACTGGAGGGGGGGTTGTACGCAAATTTCTTTGCGCTATTATCTAAGTCAAACAGAAGCGAGCCAGGCGAGCGCCAAAGTTTTTCACCTCCGACAACCGGGACACAAAGTGTCAAGGGGGTAAGAAGTGGTTTTGGAGTGGGACGTGCACTGAAAAAAATATGTTTATACATGTATATCTCATTGAATCTCTCGAAATTGTCTAAATCGAAACAGAAGTACAAGTCACAATAAATAGAGCATGTGTTTCCGAATAAGATGAGTTTGTTTTGACAGCCCCAGTTTATAAATATTAACATTATATCAGATTGACAAATTATATTTTTTATTTTATAATTATGCTATTATAATATCAAAGGAGTATTGACCTCCTACTTATATTTAAAATCATCAAATGAATCATATTATATACATTTTTCTGTTTGTGCAGTGCTGTTAACGGCTTTGCTTTTTGGACAGCGTCACAACTTGGCAACAAATTGGACTTTTGTTTGTGTTTGTTAAAAGGCTTAATTTGTTGTGCTTTCGGTCTGGCTGGGGAAACATTATGAGAGAGTGTGGTAGGGCTGCTTGCAGTGGGTGGTTTTCGGAGGAAGTGAGGGTCGGTGGGCTGCCGGCTAAAGTGCTTCAAATAACTTGACGCTGTGTCCAAGGCTTGGACTCCAAGCCGTGTTTGTACTGAGGTGTGTCTGCCTAAATCAAGCTCAAACATTTTCAACTATTTGAATTGCCGAGCCATGGCAAGAGCATTAGAGAGGCGTTCACACACCCATACACAGGCCCCGATTTCACTGAACGAAATGATCTTAGCACAGATCTCCCATGGAAATATTTCATCTGAGTACACAAAAGGATGGTAGTACTTGGCTTTATGTTATATACTTGAGTGGTAAAGCTTTTAAAAATAAAAACAATTGTAAACAAATTGTAGATAACCTTAATTGCAATGCAGCTGGTAATTACTATTTAAGGTACCATTCAAAAAATGGTTAAAAGTAACTTTAGGGGGTTTTAAGCCCCTATATAAAATCTGTTAATTTGTATAAACAAGTGTTAAGGACCATTCAGTTGAAAATCAGATGGCACTTTTAGTGTCAATCTATAGTTTTTAAACAAGGTCTAAGCTTCTATATATTTTTCGCAGTGTGCGGGAGACCCACACACGTGCGTGGGTGCATGTGGCACTCAGCTGCTAACGACGTGCACAAGTAAATGTCAATCTAATGCCCGAGCACCGCACCGCAGGAGCCAGGATGTCAAGCCACGAACCCACCACCTGCACTTCCATCTCCATCAGCACCTGCCCCGTTTCCCGATTTTGGCCCAACCATTCCACCGCAAACTATCGACGGCCATGGCCAACTCAATAATGTAATGTCCCTCATTGGCGCTTTAAGTTTATGTATGGCAACCCATTTCCAGGATGTTCCTTGTTCCTAGTGGTTTAATGTGTGAGTGCTAGAGATGAGCTTGAGTCCATGGCTCGTGAGTAGGGGGGTGGCGAGTACCTTTTTTTTTTTTTCATAAGACGTTCGTTCGAGGCTAAAATTATACTTTAAAATGTATGCAATAAAATACACTACACTTTTAGTGCAACTATCCTAGCGTGCTCATAAGTGCTTTTTCAGAGCAGGTGGTAGTGCAATTAAATACTGCGAGTCTGCTAAATGGTCAGTTGTTGTTAAGAAATTAAGCCACATTTTCAGGATCAAATTCTGTAGTCTTGTCGGCAAGCGGTATTAAATGATTATTTATTTATTAATTATTATTATTTTAATTTTTAATTTAAACAATTGAACCAATGTCTGCACTTTATCCAGAAAGTCAGTAAAACTTTCGTGTCACGCAATCATCTCTAATGCCAATCCCCCTTAGAAGGTGCAAAGTTTTATGCAATTTATTGCATTTAACGTTCTCGAACAGTTAGCGACAATCCCGGGGCCCCAAAGCAGGTGTGTGGTTGAGTAAGATTTTGTGTAGTGTGCCCGGGAAAACACAATGCCACCGGGGAAAAGCGATGCAGGTTTCCCAGTGAGTGAGTAAGCGAATTAATGCGTGGACTATTAGCATAGCAGGTGCCATCGCGTGCTACGTTTAACCTCCACCACTTTGCCACCACCTGTTGACGGATGTCTTGGGGGCAGAAATGTTTAAAGCCATCCTTCATCGTCCATGTCGAAACGTCGGTCTGTCAACCAATCAATCAATCGAGCAGGCCAGTTGACTGGCCGTAATTGGATGGTTTAGCGAACTTGCTCACTTAATCTGTTGAGCGGCAGTTTGCCTTTAATTGTGTGATAACTTTATCGTTGTCCCAAATCGAACTTTACTTGCCCCCACCGATTTCTTTACGCTCCTGTGAAAGCTCCCCAGTGCTCAATGCATTTTCATTTTAATTTTCTACGCCACTGCGAAAAAAATGCTAATCTAATTCAATTTCGGAACAGAGAGCCGAACGAAAATGTTTGGGGATAAAGGATTTATTATAAATCGGTTTATTATAATTGAAGCTAAGGAATTCGCGAATAGTTATGCATGAATGAGATGTGCGACCTAAGATGGAATTTTAATAAAATAGAGTTCTTGAATCCATTATTATAATGGTTTATAAATGGTTAATATTCAAACAATTTATTGCGATTTAGGTTAGCACTAAAATTATAGCAGGTAATTCGTATGATCCCCCACTTTTCATTTTTTCACCCGCTAAACGTGCCTGTCAACACTTTGCTGTGTTTTGGAGCAGTTCCTACTCCTGTTGTTGGTGCTTTGATGAGCTTAAGAGGATGTGAGCATCCGCATCCGCAAAAGCTTGTTTCCAGCACCAACTAACGGTAACTGTAAACGCCAACGGAGTAATCGCCGGTAATGTTCGCTCAAGGCTTAGCTCCTTTACTATGCTCCTGCATCGCCACCATTTGCGTTTTCATCTCGCTTCCATTTGTTTTTTCAGTTTTCTTCTCGCTTTCCCTCGCAATTTGAACGCACATTCGCATACTGAATGGTAAAAAGACCGACAACAATTCGATCCAAAGCAATTTAAAAATAAATATGCCCCTAGTTGATGGCGCATTACGACAATTTTAGGGGGCGCCATCTGCCGAACTACAGTGTCAATACCACAAGTTGAGAGCGATCAGCACTCCCACTCTCAGCACTCCCACTCTCAGCACTTCCACTCTCA